TCATTTTATTATTATTGATAATCATTTTATTATCATTTTAATATCAACTTTATCCCCTCAAATCTCACGATATCGCTTTTAATCAAAAATTACCTGGCATCCCTACTAATCCGCTAAAACGTCAATATCCTTCTCAATCCTGATAATTTTTTCGACATCCAACTTAATCTATCGATATCTCTTAATCGCTTAAAATCCCATTATACCCCTGGATATCACTCCAAATCCACTAATATCCTTTTTGCTTTCCCTCAATAACCCTATTTTAAGTCACTTGTGTTTAAAAGTCTCGCAAGTTGCTCAATTTTATACTAATTTGGAATCCACATTTCTTGAAAATCCAAATTTGGATCCGGCATTTTTCAAATTACGAACTCTAATTGATTTAAACATTTAAAATTTTGAGACAAATTTTCCTAAGATAAATCATGGAGGTAGGTTGAAAAATAATACTCCCCCCTGAATTAGTACTCCCCCCTTAAATAGTACTCCCCTTTGGAGGAGGGTTGAAAAATAGTACTCCCGGGAGTACTATTTTAGGAAATACGGTATATTTAAATAAAAATACAAAAAAATATAATAATAATGCTAATAATAATAAAACAACAAAAACTACCAATAGAATTAATTGTTGATATATTAAATACAATAAATACTGATGAAGGGTACTTGAGAGAGAAATTTTTCATAAAAACTATTCGAGTGATATAGACCAATTTATCTTTTGAAGGGGCATTTTATGGGGTGTTTAGGCGATTTTTGTTACGTCGAAAGATGAAGGGTCCCTATCTCGTCATCAAATTTTAACGGAAAAATGTGATTAATGCTTTCTTGTAGCAAATTTCAAGGGCTTACAGATAAGCCCCAAATGAGAATTCAGAACTATCCATAAGAGGTCGAAAATATTTTTTGAATATGAAAAACCCCGTTTTACGTTTATTTTCAGGTTAGTGAAATCTCGGCAATGAAATGAGATATGGGCTTAGTTCTTTTTTAGGTAATTCTTTGGTTCGTACCCCCCACTCCTTTTTCCTTCCTAAAAGTATTAAAAAATGGTCAGTCAGTCTTAGTTTATAGAACTCGTCAAGCTGTGTCGAATGACACCAAAATTAACCACCGTCCTTAACTTTGGGCCGAGATACAGACCCCCGAACATTGAAAAATAAAAGGGTGGACCAAGCTGATTTTTTGGGATAAAAATTCGATTAAACTAATATTAGCTCATTCGAAAGAGCTTGTCGAGCTGATTCGAATGACATAAAAACCAACGTAATTGAACAATATTTGACAAAGTTATGACATAAAGTAAACTATTGTAGTCGTTGAGACGCTTGTGCAAAACCCTGCGCTTTGCCAACGGTTTTTGTCTGTATCTCGGCCCAAAGTTAAGGACGGTGGTTAATTTTGGTGTCATTCGACACAGCTCGACGAGTTCTATAAACTAAGACTGACTGACCATTTTTTAATACTTTTAGGAAGGAAAAAGGAGTTGATTTTGATTTGTTTTGATTTTGGCATCAAAATATAGTGAAATCAAAAATGTCCCAAACTTTTGCACATTACTGTAAATATGTAAAAGCTTTCTAAAAATTCTAAAAAAAATTTTTAAACGCCCTCTCAAGCACCTTTTTTCAATTATAAAAAAGTGATTTAATAAAGCATCATAATATAGAAATAACAGAAATTCTTCGAGAACCATTTAAATTATGGAATAAATATACTACAAATGTTTTGACTTCTTCTTCTATAACTTGTCGATTTTCTGGAGAATTATTTAAAAAAAGAAAGGTTTTAAAATATAATCGAAAATTTATTAATTAAATTATATTTTGGTATTTTTATTCCCTTATTGTTAGGACTAGAGAGCGGGATTTTCAAAAAACCTTGATTTCGGTTGGGTACCTTGACCAGATTCTTGACAAGGAAAAATCAAGGAACTCTGAAAAATGTCTTTATCTGGACTCTGGGTCCAGGAGAAATCAAGATCTGGATCCAGATATAGCCCGCTCTCTAGTTAGGTCTAAATTCGAAACCTCAACAAATAAATCGAGTATAAAATATTCTCCAACTTTTTTAAAGATTCAAAATTATTTTTATTTATTTCTGTATATTTTTTTTTGAACTGGCTTCGGGTCCGAATGTAAAAAATCAGGGTTTTAGTTTTATTCCGGGAAACCCGGAGTTGGGCAAGTTTATTTTTTTCTTTTCCTTGGTTAATCCATTCTTACCCTATCTCGTTAAGGAAAAATATCCAGAGATTACGAATAATTTAAGAATTATAGCTTTTATTTAAAGAAAACTAGAGGTCGGCGCGGGACGGGATCCCGCGCGGGATTTTGCGGGGTCCCGCTCCCGCACTTTTTTCGATTTGCGGGATGCGGGATTTTGCGGGGTTTTTCCCGCGGGATCCCGTCCCGCAAAGATTTTTTTTAAAAATCCTGCAAATTTTTCCCGAAAAATTTTTTGAATTTTGCGAAATTTTGGAAAATGAAGAAGTTTTACTCCTACCCTTCTAAACACAAAAAATTTTTGCCTGCGGCGCTAGAAAAACAAGAATTTTGTCTCGCTGGCCTTCCTAAAATCTCGAAATTTTTGCCTGCGGCGCAGAAAAAGGAAGGAATATGGATACTTGGCCTTCCAAAATTTTCGCTGCCGTCATGAAATCATCTTTATTTCATCGAAACCAAATTGTCCAAATTGTTAGATCAAGATGATTGATCGATTACATTTGTTTCAGCTCAAGCTATTCTAATTTGTATACTCGAATTTCCGACGAAATGTATGAGCTTGCCCCTTATGATATTTTTGATAATTGGGGACCCGGTATAAATGCTTATCGTTTGTACCAACTTGTACTCGTAATTTGGTACGAAGTACGATACAGTTAAGAACCCGATAAGAACTCGTTAATGATTAAGAAATTGATTTTTTAATAGATATTGATAATTTCAACGATTTTTGGAAAATCCCGCAGTCCCGCGCGGGATCCCGCAAATTTAAAATGCGGGATTTTGCGGGATGCGGGATTTTGCGGGGTTTTTCCCGCGGGATCCCGTCCCGCAAAGATTTTAAAAAAAATCCCGCATGCGGGATCCCGCAAACACGATTTTGCCGACCTCTAAAGAAAACAAGAACTCCTGCTAGACTCAAATATCCCCCCTCCCTTAATTTAATTCAAAATTCTACTGCAACATAACGCCAAATTCATTTTTGTTTTTCTTCATATAAAAGCTGTAGCTCTTTCATTTTCTAGTCATTCTTAACAATCGAGCTCTTTTTTTTAAAAACCATTTTAAAGAGTGTTTTGGGTCTTACATTAATTATTTTTTTATTTTTATTGATTTTTTAGTGATTTTAAAAAAGTAATTAAGCAATTCTACGTAATGTCGGTTGAACAATTGAATCATCAACTGTCTTTGGCTCATGCTCGAATCACTTCTCAGGATCGGCAAATTGCTTCTCAAGATCAGCAAATTGCTTCTCAGGATCAGAAAATTGCTTCTCAGCAAACTCAACTTAACAAATTGACCAGAATGATTGGACTTCCAGCGGTTAGTTATAAAATATATATTTTGTTGATCTTCCCATTAATATCGATTTAAAGCATGATCGTAATTATACCCCGTTTTTCGAATTAAACTTGATTCCTTATAGTGGTGTTCTTTAAGGGGCTGTTAACTGAAAAAATCGTTTTCAGAATAAGATTGGGGGAGAGAGTTAAAAATTGATAACACAAAGACCCCATATTTAGTCATTTTTAGGCCATTATTTTAGAAAATAATCTATTCATATATTAAAATATTTTTTATTTTAGGTGTTCGTTGGTTATGGTGGCCGGTTTGAGCGTAGATCCTGCAGTCTTTATGCTCTGGGATTTACTGGAACAGTGCCTTTCAGTAAAGTGACTTCTCGATCAATTTCAATCAATTATTTTGAGATTACATTCTCGAGTCTTGAGGGGTATTATTTAAATCAATAAATTGTCCATTAGGCTTTTTACTGTTTAGAAAGTCATCATAGGGTCACAGAATTCCTCTAACCCTTGTACTCTATATTTTTGAGCATTATTTTAAGCTGTATCAATTTTATGGGGGAATCAAAATAAATTTTTAAAATAAGAAACAAAATTTCAGTTTTGACCTGTTAGGTCTTTGCAATGACAAAAACTTTATTTTCATTAATTCGCAATGGGAATTAAAGTCTGATCCTGGACGAAAACTCCTTCTGGACGTGGACGAAATTGAAGGTCCGATAACAATTGGTTCTGGAATTGTTTGGCCATCAACGAATAAATTCTACAAGAGTGAAGTTCCGCATATTTTTTTCACGATCAATGGGCAAAAGATTGGTATTTTTAATTTTCTATAAAATGTAATACTCAAAATTTTCAGGGAAATATATTCCTGTTGACTCTTCCTCGGATATGTTCCATCCAAAATATGACTGCCATGGTGATGATGCTGTGGTTAATGTTAGTCTTGCTGAAGGTTTCCGCTATGATGTGGTCAACCAAGACTTTGGAGACGATGTGTACAATGAGGAAGACTGGGACATTTAAGTGAATAAATCTAAGTTTATTTAAATAAAAAAAATTGTTAAATTATTTTGTTAATTTTAAAAATAAAAATTTTTCCCATCCTGGGATTTGATGTTTATTACATGGTGTGATTTACACTTGAATATTTAACTCTTTTGATTCCTTTCCTTTTTTGCGAATTTCACAAGTCGTTTTCTCTCCAATCATTGTTGACCTCATTCGAATTCACTCCTATTCTAAGGATTTGTGAGGTTCATGTAATTCCCTCGATTTTGTTTTTTTAAATATCGAAAAAATTCAAAAGAAATTTATTACAAAATTAAGGCACTAAAAATTAAGTAAAAAATAAATAAAAATAACAGAAAAAATATGAGCTTTAAAGGTGAAACTAGTTTTTCTGCTGAAGACTGACTAGCTGTTGCCAAGTCGAAATTGCAAGTATTCCCCTAAAAATTATTTTTTAATTTAAAATATTCCCCCCCTTTTCCAAACCTTGCAAGCACAATAAATCTCTTCCAATTCATTCTGTACCCATTTGTGTGTACATCCAAGTTGAACAAAAGTAGGCGTTGTTACATTTATACAGCCACGTTTTTCGTGCATTTTTGGGGAATTGAGGGAATTTTGTTGTCCATTATTATTCCCATTTCTATTGGTTGACCAATTGTTGGAGAATATTCTTTGGGCTGCATAAACACAGAAATGGCCTAGGAAAAAAAATTTTTTTTTTGAAAATTTTTGAAAAAATTTCAAAAAAATTTTTGAAAATTTTTCAAGGAAATTTTCCAAAAAAATTTTTTTTTCGAAAAAATTTCAAAAATTTCTGAGAAAATACCTCTACATTTATTTTGTCTACATCCAGAAGTCATTGGAGAAGAAACATCTTCTGCACTCATATCACAATTTATGCATTCATAAAGTAGTGGTAAAGGGGGAAGTTTTTGTGCTGCTACTGACATTTCCCATTGACGTCTTAAAAATTTTAAAGAAAATTTTATTTTTTGAAAATACAGTTGGCTCTCAATTTTTTTCCAAAATTATATACGCTCTGTTTTGGTTGGCCTGTGAAGGCTGTTGGAAGTTGCCTAAGCGATATCTCCCATTTTATGTGAATACACCTCGATTTTACCCACTTTTATCATCACCAATTGTGTGTCCGACTGAATTCAATCTAAAAAAAACCCCCCAAAAATCGAGGTCCGAGACTGTAATCTCTAAAAACCCCCACAAGAATACCTCTAACAATAAAAATCAAAAATAAATTTTCCTCTAAAAATAACCTTTGTTGTTGTTGCTCTCTTTGTTGTTTCTTCTCCCCTCCTCCACCCAAACTTTTTAGCAAAGAGGAAATAAAAGAAGAATCACTTCCAGAATCATCCCCATTTGAATTACACATATTTTTCCCTCCACAAATACAGAAACGTTGAGGGGAAACTTGAAAATTATTTTTAGAAAATTTTTTTAATCCAAAAAAACACCTCCGCCCCCACGGCTAATACTCAAACAAACGTGTTGTTGACGTTGTAAAAGTTCTGTCGTTTTGTACAAGTAGGGAAGCGAAGGAGGGCCAAAACCACAACCAGCTGCGCCTGTTGAAGTTTTTTGATGACACCATTGGCCTATAATGGAAATTTTCAATAAGGGAATCTCTCTATAAGCGACAACATTTGGCCTGAATTTTGCTGACTTAAGAAGGGAAGTAACGTTTTAGGGGGAGTCATGTTAGGTTAAAAACTTTTAAACTGAATTAGGCTAAAACAAGAAAGTCGTTTATAGAGAGGTTCTGGAAAGTCGCTTGTAGAGAGATTATGGAAAATCGCTTATAGAGAGGTTCTGGAAAGTCGTTTATAGGGAGATTCTGGAGAGTCGCTTATAGAGAGATTCTGGAAAGTCGCTTAAAGAACGATTCTGGGAAGTTGCTTATAGAGAGATTCTGTATTTTTATCTACTGTATTTTGATTGTTCCCAAAATCACCCTTGAAGGCTGCTACAATCCCTCAATTATTAATACCTTGACACGTCTGCCCACAATCAGGCCTTCCATCTGGACATTGCCTACAAGTCACGTTTCTCCACGTGGCTGTGTTTACATGCATTAGAATTTGGTCGTTACAAAAATCTGTCGAAATTTTGTTAAAAAAACAGCAAAAAAATTACCAGGCCCAGCACAAACACAAAGGACATGATCAGAAAAATGGTCAAAATCACACCCAGCTCGAGTTCTAGACGGCCTCTTCACACACCCTTTGGAAAGCCTGAAAATTCCTGGGACTTCTGAAGGCTGTTTCTCTGCAAAACAATAATCTGCCTCATAAGACCCCATCCTATAAAAAATTATTTTTTAAATTTTTTTAAAAATATTTACTGGCAGTTGCATGGTGCACCAGCTAAACATTGTCCAGAACAGGAATAACATCGACGCCCCTGTAAAGAAAATCTTTTTTTTATTTTAATTAATCTGCCATTTTTTCCGGAATTTTCTATTTTTCTTAATTCCGTTATGTGTAGCTATTTATATTTCCGGATCAGGGCCGAGCGCAATTGGAAAAAAATGTCCGCAATTTTAATTTTAAAATCCGCAAACGCAATCCGCAAGTCAAAAAACACATAATCCGCAATTGCGCCCAGCCCTTTTCCGGACAGTCTGCTTTCCGGAAATTATTTTCTCGTTCTTATTTAATTTCTATATATTCTCTATGTGTCTGATATCTTTACCGGAATTCTCTTTTCTTTTCCTTTTCTTTTTTAATATTTTCCGGAATTCTTTCCGGATCAACATATTTTTTTTTATTTCTCTTCCTGTATTTGACGTTTCCTCATTTCTTCCGGAATTTTAGTAGTATTTTTCAGACCTGCTCATGGATACGGATTTTGCTATCCGTATCCGGATATATCCGTGAGGTCCATATCCGTATCCGTTTGTATCCGTCCAACTTTTTAGGCATATCCATCCGCGGGTATCCGCGGATATATCCGTTTTTTCTCAAAATGGTCAGCCTGGCTAGAATTTTCAAAATGGTCAAATTTATTTAAATTCGGTTTTTTTCTGCATTTTATACAACATACATATTTAGGTACCTATTTTAAGGTTTTTACGACCTAAAAATCCGATCCCTAATAATAAGGTAATAACTGAATGCATCAAAACTAACCTTGCTTATGAATATCGGAAGTTCGAAAATCGGAAGGCAGAGATAGGAATTCCGACCCAACGTTACTTATCAGGGATTATACCGACAAAAAATAAAATAAAATTTTTGAGAATTTTTGAAAAGTTAAATTCACGGTTTCGGGCCGAAATGAAAATTCGGTTAACTAACCAGTTGATTTTAGCGCCGCAGGCGAAAATTTTGAGAATTTAGGAAGACAGAAGCAAAAAATCTTTCATTTTCAGCGCCGCAGGCAAAATTTTTGAAAATTTTAGAAGCGCGTAGGCCAAAAAATTCACTTTTTTGCCCAATCCCCTCACCAAATATTTTCCTTTTTCCCAATTCGGGAGTGGGTGGGGGAATTCCCCCATAACCCTCTGAAAATTTTCGCTTGCTCAGCTAAAAGAGTTGAGCGTCGTAGATGAAAATTTTTAAGCTGGAAGGCTAGGAAACCAGAGAAATTCTAGCGCCGCAGAATTTTTGAGAGAGAAGAATTTGAGAAGTTAACTGATTTCAAAGCCAGATTTCTTTCTTATTTAGCGCCGCAGGCAAAAATTTTAAAAATTTTGAAAGGCCGAAAGCGAAAAAAATTCACTTCCTTTGCACCGCAGGCTAGAATTTTTAGATGGATATCCGCGGATTTGAAGCATCATATCCGTATCCATCCGTATCCGTCCAATTTTTTTAAAAACACTATCCATATCCATCCGTATCCGCGGATATCCGCGGGTATCCGGATATTATCCGTATCCGTGAGCAGGTCTGGTATTTTTGTATATTTTTCCGGAACATTTTCTGCATTCTATACCCTTTCCGGTATTTTCTCTCTTCTCTAATAAAAATTAACTACCTCCAATAAAGCTGTAGACAACGCAAAAATTAAAAGAAATAAAACAAAAAATTTATTAGAGATCACCAACAATAATTTTGAAAATTTTAAATAAAGGTATTGACAAGTTTGTTTATTCATTTGCAACAAAGTCGGCAATAACTCAGCCTTTGCTGACAATTGCAAAAATTAGGCATTGCCTGCGCAGGGATGAGATGAAAGGAAATTAATTAATTTTATTTTTATGTGAGAAGGAAAGAGGCTTTCTGAAAAATAAATAAAAATAAATTTATTTTTATTCTGAAAATTTAAATTAAAAAAAAATTTTTTTTCTAAACTTTAATAATAAAAAAATATTTATTTTAGTAGCACCTTAATACGCCTATAAAAGGGAAATAATGAAGAAAGGAAGTTTTAATTAGCGGAAAATTTTAATGAATGTTTTTCTTAAAATGGGCTTATCCAAACAATAAAATTGTAAAATGTTATTTAAAACAAAACTTAGTTAAAACTTGATTGTAAAACAAGTTTAATTAATTTGAAAAATGTTTTTAAAACAAGTTTATTTATTAAAAAGTTTTAGTTGTAAAAACAAGTTTATTTAAAACTTAGGAAAATGTCTATGTTTGAAACATGTTTTAAACAAACATGTTTATTCAAACTTGTTTTTCAACATGTTTTACTTATTTAAAACTTAATAGAAAGTTCGCGTGTTTTAACTGAACTTTAATATGAAAATTAAAATAATTATTTAAATATGGAGGAGGACAGCGAACGAGAAAAGAGAATATAAAAACAACATAGGAGAATGCTATTTTTTGGCTCCAAATAAGGTCTTCGAGAACCATTTAAATTATGGAATAAATATACTACAAATGTTTTGACTTCTTCTTCTATAACTTGTCGATTTTCTGGAGAATTATTCAAAAAAAGAAAGGTTTTAAAATATAATTAAAAATTTATTTATTAAATTATATTTTGATATTTTTATCCTCTTATTGTTAGGACTAGAGATTGTTAGGATTAGGACTTTTCAAAAAACCTTGATTTCGGTTGGGTACCTTGACCAGATTCTTGACCTTGAGTCAAGGAAAAATCGAGGAACGCTGAAAAATGTTTTTATCTGGACTCTGGATTCAGGAAAAATCAAGATCTGGATCCAGATCTAGCCCGCTCTCTAGTTAGGCCTAAATTCGAAACCTCAAAAGGAGGGGGAATACGAACCGAAGAATTACCAATAAAATTTTCAAAAAATTTTTAAGACGTCAATGGGAAATGTCAGTAGCAGCACAAAAACTTCCCCCTTTACCACCACTTTATGAATGCATAAATTGTGAAATGAGTGCAGAAGATGTTTCTTCTTCAATGACTTCTGGATGTAGACAAAATAAATGTAAAGGTATTGTAATTTTTTTTTGAAAATTTTTTTGAAATTTTCAAAAAATTTTTTTCAAAAAAATTGTTTCTTAGGCCATTTCTGTGTTTACGCAGCCCAAAGAATATTTTCCAACAATTGGTCAACCAATAGAAATGGAAATAATAATGGACAACAAACTTCCCCTTCCCCAAAAATGCACGAAAAACGTGGCTGTATAAACGTAACAACGCCTACTTTTGTTCAACTTGGATGTACACACAAATGGGTACAGAATGAATTGGAAGAGATTTATTGTGCTTGCAAGGTTTGGGAAAGGGAGGGGGGGGGGGGAATGTTTTAAATTTAAAAAAATTAATTTTTTAGGGGAATACTTGCAATTTCGACTTGGCAACAGCTAGTCAGTCTTTGGCAGAAAAACAACTAGTATCACCTTTAAAGCTCATATTTTTTTCTGTTATTTTTATTTATTTTTTACTCATTTTTTTAGTGCCTTAATTTCTTAAAATAAATTTCTTTTTTGAATTTTTTCGATATAAAAAAATGAAAATCGGAGGTACGGGTACCTCACAAATCCTTCAAGTGAATTCAAACGAGGTCAACAATGATTGGAAAGAAAATGACTTGGGGATTCACAAAAATTTAAGGAAAGGAATCAAAAGAGGATTAAATATTCAAGTGTAAATAACACTACGTAATAATTATCAAATCCCAGGATGGAAAAAATTTTTATTTTTAAAATTAACAAAATAATTTAACAATTTTTTTTTATTTAAACAAACTTCGTCTTATTCACTTAAATATTTTTGGCCAGTCTCCCACATTGTACACATCGTCTCCAAAGTCTTGGTTGACCACATCATAGCGGAAACCTCGAACAAGACTAACTTTAACCACAGCATCATCATCATGGCAGTCATATTTTGGATGGAACATATCCGAGGGAGAGTCAACAGGAATGTATTTTCCTGAAAATTTTGAGTATTACATTTCATAGAAAATTAAAAATACCAATCTTCTGCCCATTGATCGTGAAAAAAATATGCGGAACTTCATTTTTATAGAATTTGTTCTTTGATGGCCAAACAATTCCAGAACCAATTGTTATTGGACCTTCAATTTCGTCCAAGTCCAGAATGAGTTTTCGTTCAGGATTGAACTGTAATTCCCATTCCGATGTATGGTTGATGAAAATAAAGTTTTTGTCATTGCACAGACCTAACAGGTCAAAACTAAAATTTTGTTCCTTATTTTAAAAATTTATTTCGATTCCCCCATAAAATTGATACAAATAAAAATGGTGCTCAATAATATAGAGTACAAGGATTAGAGAAATTCTGAGACCCCATGATGACTTTCTAAACAGTAAAAAGCCTACTGGACAATTTATAGATTTAAATAATACCCCTCAAGACTCGAGAATGTAATCTCAAAATAATTGATTGAAATTGATCGAGAAGTCACTTTACTGAAAGGCACTGTTCCAGTATATCCCTCATTATAAAGACTGCAGGATCTACGCTCAAATCGGCCACAATAACCAACAAACACCTAAAATAAAAAATATTTTAATATATGAATAAATTATTTTCTAAAATAATGGCCTAAAAATGACTAGGTGTGAGGTATTTGTGTTAACAATTTTTAACGTTTTCACCCAATTTTATTCTGAAAATAACAACCTCTTAAAATCACCACTAAAAGGAATAAGGTTTAATTCGAAAAACGAGGATTTGTTAAGGATTCATGCTATAAAATCGATATTAACGGGACGCTCAGTCAAAATATATATTTTAGAACTAACCGCTGGAAGTCCCATCATTCTAGTCAATTTGTTAAGTTGAGCTTGTTGAGAAGCAATTTGCTGATCCTGAGAAGTGATTCGAGCATGAGCCAAAGACAGTTGATGACTCAATTGTTCAACAGACATTACGTAGAATTGCTTAATTACTTTTTTAAAATCCCTAAAAAATCAATAAAAATAAAAAAATAATTAATGTAAGACCCAAAACACTCTTTAAATGTATTTTAAGAAAAAAAGCTCGATTGTTAATAATGACTAGAAAATGAAAGAACTACAGCTTTTATATGAAGAAAAACAAAAATAAATTTGGCGTTATGTTGCAGTGGAATTTTGAATTAAATTATGGGAGGGGATATTTGAGTCTAGCAGGAGTTCTTGTTTCTTTAGAGGTCGGCAAAATCGTGTTTGCGGGATCCCGCATGCGGGATTTTTTTAAAATCTTTGCGGGACGGGATCCCGCGGGAAAAAACCCCGCAAAATCCCGCATCCCGCAAATCGAAAAAAGTGCGGGAGCGGGACCCCGCAAAATCCCGCGCGGGATCCCGTCCCGCGCCGACCTCTAGTTTTCTTTAAATAAAAGCTATAATTCTTAAATTATTCGTAATCTCTGGATATTTTTCCTTACCGAGATAAGGTAAGAATGGATTAACCAAGGAAAAGAAAAAAATAAACTTGCCCAACTCCGGGTTTCCCGGAATAAAACTAAAACCCTGATTTTTTACACTGGGTTCTGCTGAACCCAGTTCAAAAAAAAATAAACAGAAATAAAAATAATTTTGAATCTTTAAAGATTTGGAGAATATTTTAGACTCGATTGATTTGTTTAGGTTTCGAATTTAGGCCTAGCTAGAGAGCGGGCTAGATCTGGATCCAGATCTTGATTTTTCCTGAATCCAGAGTCCAGATAAAGGCATTTTTCAGCGTTCCTCAATTTTTCTTTGACTCAAGGTCAAGAATCTGGTCAAGGTACCCAACCGAAATCAAGGTTTTTTGAAAATCCCGCTCTCTAGTCCTAACAATAAGGGAATAAAAATATCAAAATATAATTTAATAAATAAATTTTTAATTATATTTTAAAACCTTTCTTTTTTTGAATAATTCTCCAGAAAATCGACAAGTTATAGAAGAAGAAGTCAAAACATTTGTAGTATATTTATTCCATAATTTAAATGGTTCTCGAAGAATTTCTGTTATTTCTATATTATGATGCTTTATTAAATCACTTTTTTTATAATTGAAAAAAGGTACTTGAGAGGGCGTTCAAAAAAATTTTTTTTAGAATTTTTAGAAAGCTTTTACATATTTACAGTAATGTGCAAAAGTTTGGGACATTTTGTTCTAAATTATTAAATCAATAATTTTTCTTTCACTTTTCAATAAGTGGGCTGGATTAAATTTTTGAAAATTAACTACAAGTGTTCTCTATAAAATGGCACTAAATGTATCTGATTAATTTCACACATTTTTATATTTTATCCCTATAATATTTTATACCCAGAAATTTGTGGTGCAAAAGTTTGGAACATTTTTGATTTCACTATATTTTGATGCCAAAATCAAAACAAAAAATTTATAAAAATTCTAGCTGGCATATTGATCGAAATAAGGGAAAATAAAAAAGGGTAATTCTTTGGTTCGTACCCCCCACTCCTTTTTCCTTCCTAAAAGTATTAAAAAATGGTCAGTCAGTCTTAGTTTATAGAACTCGTCGAGCTGTGTCGAATGACACCAAAATTAACCACCGTCCTTAACTTTGGGCCGAGATACAGACAAAAACCGTTGGCAAAGCGCAGGGTTTTGCACAAGCGTCTCAACGACTACAATAGTTTACTTTATGTCATAACTTTGTCAAATCTTATTCAATTACGTTGATTTTGATGTCATTCGAATCAGCTCGAACAAGCGCTTTCGAATGAGCTAATATTAGTTTAATCGAATTTTTATCCCAAAAAATCAGCTTGGTCCACCCTTTTATTTTTCAATGTTCGGGGGTCTGTATCTCGGCCCAAAGTTAAGGACGGTGGTTAATTTTGGTGTCATTCGACACAGCTTGACGAGTTCTATAAACTAAGACTGACTGACCATTTTTTAATACTTTTAGGAAGGAAAAAGGAGTGGGGGGTACGAACCAAAGAATTACCTAAAAAAGAACTAAGCCCATATCTCATTTCATTGCCGAGATTTCACTAACCTGAAAATAAACGTAAAACGGGGTTTTTCATATTCAAAAAATATTTTCGACCTCTTATGGATAGTTCTGAATTCTCATTTGGGGCTTATCTGTAAGCCCTTGAAATTTGCTACAAGAAAGCATTAATCACATTTTTCCGTTAAAATTTGATGACGAGATAGGGACCCTTCATCTTTCGACGTAACAAAAATCGCCTAAACGCCCCATAAAATGCCCTTTCAAAAGATAAATTGGTCTATATCACCCGAATAGTTTTTATGGAGAATTTCTCTCTCAAGTACCCTTCATCGGTATTTATTGTATTTAATATATCAACAATTAATTCTGTTGGTAGTTTTTGTTGTTTTATTATTATTAGCATTATTATTATATTTTTTTGTATTTTTATTTAAATATATATAAAAATTTTTAAAAATAATATTTAATATTTTTAATATTAAAAGAAAATTTTAATTTTTTTCTCAGAAAATATTTTTCAACAAAAAAAACTTCTTTTTAAAATTACCGACCTTCCCACTAATAAATTTGCTATTTTTCCTTCTTTATATTAAAAATGTCTGATGGAAATAACGATAAAGAGGAAGCTTATTAAAAAACAAATTCTGATTTATTTTAAAATCAGAATTTTCTAAAAGTTACTTAACGTAAATCTCTAATAGGTAACCGTCTACCGAAGGATATTTTTAGTTGAGTAAATTTAAAAATTTAGCAACTAAAAGTAAAAATTGAAAAAAAAAAGTTAAAATAAATATCAAAATGATTTGGATTTGGAAGGTCTTCTATTGGTTCCTGAGATGTTTTTGCCTCGAGAATAGCTTTATAGTGCTAATTTATCATTTTACTACTAATTAAAACCTTTTTCAAAAAGAAAAATGAATTTATTTATTAAAGAATTTATTTTTTTTTCATATTAAAATTTTTTAGGAAATACCGATACCGATTTAGGCTAATCCCGATCCCGAGTCGTTACCGGTATCGGGATCGGTATCATCAATCCGAAATACTGATACCGTTTTTTTCTCGGAATACCGGTACCGCTGAACCCTAATTGAAAGTCACAATCTTGGAACGTCTTTTTATTTCTAATTTTTGAAGATTTTTTTGTTTTAAACAAATTATTTATTGATATCAACACTAAACCATTGATATTAATCCAAATCCCTCTTGATGTATAGCTAGATGGATATAGATTGAGATTAAGAGAATTGGGCGGGACACAAGGGAGTATTACCTCTTTGTCGTTATTTCCATCAGACATTTTTAATATAAAGAAGGGAAGATAGCAAATTTATTTGTGGGCAGGTCGGTAATTTTAAAAGGAAGTTTTTTGTTGAAAAATATTTTCTGAGGGAGTACATATTACTATTTTTTTAATTGTCTTATTTTTAAAAATTTTTATATATATTTAAATAAAAATACAAAAAAAATATAATAATAATGCTAATAATAATAAAACAACAAAAACTACCAACAGAATTAATTGTTGATATATTAAATACAATAAATACTGATGAAGGGTACTTGAGAGAGAAATTTTTAAATTTTTGTTAGAAAATAGCTTAATTTAATAGAATTTTTATACAAAAAAGGTACAAAGAAAAAAATTATTTTAGAATAAAGCCAATACTAATTTCTTAGTTTGTTTTGTTCATTAGCGGATTGTGACTGAGCTAATAATAAGATATTTTTTTAATTGTCTGAATTTATTTTTAAATGATTTTTCCTTTTTCGTATCCTTCCATTAATTTTTTATTTGGTTATCTAGTCTTTAAACAAATTTAGTACCCCGACCTCATTCCCGAACAATTTTTGGCTGTACTTTAGCCGGTGGCCCACTCAGAAACGGGTCAAAATATATACGATTCGATTCGTCTCGGCGAGCTGAGTCGAATGGTACCATTCTTTTATTGCGGAAATTCCTACGAGTCGAGATATAGGTACTTAAAAATCGAAAAACCATAGGGGGGACCAAGCAATGAAAATTCAAATAACTATAACCATAAGAGGTCGAAAATATTTTTTGAATATAAAAACCCCGTTTTACGTTGATTTTCAGGTTAGTGAAATCTTGACAATGAAATGATATATGGGCTTAGTTCTTTTTTATTTTCCCTTATTTCGATCAATATGCCAGCTAGAATTTTTATAAATTTTTTTATTTGATTTTGGCATCAAAATATAGTGAAATCAAAAATGTTCCAAACTTTTGCTCCACAAATTTCTGGGTATAAAATATTATAGGGATAAAATATAAAAATGTGTGAAATTAATCAGATACATTTAGTGCCTAGAGAACACTTGTAGTTAATTTTCAAAAATTTAATCCAGCCCATTTATTGAAAAGTGAAAGAAAAATTATTGATTTAATAATTTAGAACAAAATGTTCCAAACTTTTGCACATTGCTTAAATATGTAAAAGCTTTCTAAAAATTCGAAAAAAAATTTTTTTCCAACCCTCTCAAGTACTTTTTTTCAATTATAAAAAAGTGATTTAATAAAGCATCATAAAATAGAAATAACAGAAATTCTTCGAGAACCATTTAAATTATGGAATAAATATACTACAAATGTTTTGACTTCTTCTTCTATAACTTGTCGATTTTCTGGAGAATTATTCAAAAAAAGAAAGGTTTTAAAATATAATTAAAAATTTATTTATTAAATTATATTTTGATATTTTTATCCTCTTATTGTTAGGACTAGAGATTGTTAGGATTAGGACTTTTCAAAAAACCTTGATTTCGGTTGGGTACCTTGACCAGATTCTTGACCTTGAGTCAAGGAAAAATCGAGGAACGCTGAAAAATGTTTTTATCTGGACTCTGGATTCAGGAAAAATCAAGATCTGGATCCAGATCTAGCCCGCTCTCTAGTTAGGCCTAAATTCGAAACCTCAACAAATCAATCGAGTTTAAAATATTCTCCAAATCTTTAAAGATTCAAAATTATTTTTATTTATTTCTGTTTATTTTTTTTTGAACTGGCTTCGGGTCCGAGTGTAAAAAATCAGGGTTTTAGTTTTATTCCGGGAAACACGGAGTTGTGCAAGTTTATTTTTTTCTTTTCCTTGGTTAATCCATTCTTACCCTATCTCGGTAAGGAAAAATATCCAGAGATTACGAATAATTTAAGAATTATAGCTTTTATTTAAATAAAACTAGAGGTCGGCGCGGGACGGGATCCCGCGCGGGATTTTGCGGGGTCCCGCTCCCGCACTTTTTTCGATTTGCGGGATGCGGGATTTTGCGGGGTTTTTCCCGCGGGATCCCGTCCCGCAAAGATTTTTTTTAAAAATCCTGCAAATTTTTCCCGAAAAATTTTTTGAATTTTGCGAAATTTTGGAAAATGAAGAAGTTTTACTCCTACCCTTCTAAACACAAAAAATTTTTGCCTGCGGCGCTAGAAAAACAAGAATTTTGTCTCGCTGGCCTTCCTAAAATCTCGAAATTTTTGCCTGCGGCGCAGAAAAAGGAAGGAATATGGATACTTGGCCTTCCAAAATTTTCGCTGCCGCCATGAAATCATCTTTATTTCATCGAAACCAAATTGTCCAAATTGTTAGATCAAGATGATTGATCGATTACATTTGTTTCAGCTCAAGCTATTCTAATTTGTATACTCGAATTTCCGACGAAATGTATGAGCTTGCCCCTTATGATATTTTTGATAATTGGGGACCCGGTATAAATGCTTATCGTTTGTACCAACTTGTACTCGTAATTTGGTACGAAGTACGATACAGTTAAGAACCCGATAAGAACTCGTTAATGATTAAGAAATTGATTTTTTAATAGATATTGATAATTTCAACGATTTTTGGAAAATCCCGCAATCCCGCGCGGGATCCCGCAAATTTAAAATGCGGGATTTTGCGGGATGCGGGATTTTGCGGGTTTTTCCCGCGGGATCCCGTCCCGCAAAGATTTTAAAAAAATCCCGCATGCGGGATCCCGCAAACACGATTTTGCCGACCTCTAAAGAAACAAGAACTCCTGCTAGACTCAAATATCCCCTCCCATAATTTAATTCAAAATTCCACTGCAACATAACGCCAAATTTATTTTTGTTTTTCTTCATATAAAAGCTGTAGTTCTTTCATTTTCTAGTCATTCTTAACAATCGAGCTCTTTTTTTTAAAAACCATTTTAAAGAGTGTTTTGGGTCTTACATTAATTATTTTTTTATTTTTATTGATTTTTTAGTGATTTTAAAAAAGTAATTAAGCAATTCTACGTAATGTCGGTTGAACAATTGAATCATCAACTGTCTTTGGCTCATGCTCGAATCACTTCTCAGGATCGGCAAATTGCTTCTCAAGATCAGCAAATTGCTTCTCAGGATCAGAAAATTGCTTCTCAGCAAACTCAACTTAACAAATTGACCAGAATGATTGGACTTCCAGCGGTTAGTTATAAAATATATATTTTGTTGATCTTCCCATTAATATCGATTTAAAGCATGATCGTAATTATACCCCGTTTTTCGAATTAAACTTGATTCCTTATAGTGGTGTTCTTTAAGGGGCTGTTAACTGAAAAAATCGTTTTCAGAATAAGATTGGGGGAGAGAGTTAAAAATTGATAACACAAAGACCCCATATTTAGTCATTTTTAGGCCATTATTTTAGAAAATAATCTATTCATATATTAAAATATTTTTTATTTTAGGTGTTCGTTGGTTATGGTGGCCGGTTTGAGCGTAGATCCTGCAGTCTTTATGCTCTGGGATTTACTGGAACAGTGCCTTTTAGTAAAGTGACTTCTCGATCAATTTCAATCAATTATTTTGAGATTACATTCTCGAGTCTTGAGGGGTATTATTTAAATCAATAAATTGTCCATTAGGCTTTTTACTGTTTAGAAAGTCATCATAGGGTCACAGAATTCCTCTAACCCTTGTACTCTATATTTTTGAGCATTATTTTAAGCTGTATCAATTTTATGGGGGAATCAAAATAAATTTTTAAAATAAGAAACAAAATTTCAGTTTTGACCTGTTAGGTCTTTGCAATGACAAAAACTTTATTTTCATTAATTCGCAATGGGAATTAAAGTCTGATCCTGGACGAAAACTCCTTCTGGACGTGGACGAAATTGAAGGTCCGATAACAATTGGTTCTGGAATTGTTTGGCCATCAACGAATAAATTCTACAAGAGTGAAGTTCCGCATATTTTTTTCACGATCAATGGGCAAAAGATTGGTATTTTTAATTTTCTATAAAATGTAATACTCAAAATTTTCAGGGAAATATATTCCTGTTGACTCTTCCTCGGATATGTTCCATCCAAAATATGACTCCCATGGTGATGATGCTGTGGTTAATGTTAGTCTTGCTGAAGGTTTCCGCTATGATGTGGTCAACCAAGACTTTGGAGACGATGTGTACAATGAGGAAGACTGGGACATTTAAGTGAATAAATCTAAGTTTATTTAAATAAAAAAAATTGTTAAATTATTTTGTTAATTTTAAAAATAAAAATTTTTCCCATCCTGGGATTTGATGTTTATTACATGGTGTGATTTACACTTGAATATTTAACTCTTTTGATTCCTTTCCTTTTTTGCGAATTTCACAAGTCGTTTTCTCTCCAATCATTGTTGACCTCATTCGAATTCACTCCTATTCTAAGGATTTGTGAGGTTCATGTAATTCCCTCGATTTTGTTTTTTTAAATATCGAAAAAATTCAAAAGAAATTTATTACAAAATTAAGGCACTAAAAATTAAGTAAAAAATAAATAAAAATAACAGAAAAAATATGAGCTTTAAAGGTGAAACTAGAAGTTGTTTTTCTGCCAAAGACTGACTAGCCGTCGCCAAGTCGAAATTGCAAGTATTCCCCTAAAAATAATAATTTTTTAAAAAACATTCCCCCCCCCCCCTTTTCCAAACCTTGCAAGCACAATAAATCTCTTCCAATTCATTCTGTACCCATTTGTGTGTACATCCAAGTTGAACAAAAGTAGGCGTTGTGACATTTATACAGCCACGTTTTTCGTGCATTTTTGGGGAATTGAGGGAATTTTGTTGTCCATTATTATTCCCATTTCTATTGGTTGACCAATTATTTGAAAATATTCTTTGGGCTGCATAAACACAAAAATGGCCTAGGGAAAAAATTTTTTTCTGAAAAATTTCAACAAAAAATTTTGAAAATTTTTTAAAAATTTCAAAAAAATTTTAAAATTTTTCACAAAAATTTTTGAAAAATTTTCAATACCTTTACATTTATTTTGTCTACATCCAGAAGTCATTGAAGAAGAAACATCTTCTGCACTCATATCACAATTTATGCACTCATAAAGTGGTGGTAAAGGGGGAAGTTTTTGTGCTGCTACAGACATTTCCCATTGACGTCTTTAAAGAAAATTTTTTTTTAAAAATACAGCCGGCTCTCAATTTTTTTCTAAAATTATATAATCTCTATTTTGGTTAGCCTCCGATTTGAAGGGTGTTTTACCTAGACATCTCCCATTTTAAGTGAATATACCTCGATTTTACCCACTTTTATCGTCCCTACTTGGGTGTCCGACTGAATCTAATTTAAAAAACCCCCCAAAAATCAAGGTCCTAGACTGTAATTTAATTTAAAAAAACCCCCTCAAGAATACCTCAAAGTAAAAATCAAAAAATAAATTTTTTCTCTAAAAATAACCTCTGTTGTTGTTGTTGCTCTCTTTGTTGTTGTTTCTTCTCCCCTCCTCCACCCAAACTTTTTAGCAAAGAGAAAATAAAAGAAGAATCACTTCCAGAATCATCCCCATTTGAATTACACATATTTTTCCCTCCACAAATACAGAAACGTTGAGGGGAAACTTGAAAAGAATTTTTTTTTAAATTTTAAAAAAATTCAAAAAAACCTCCACCCCCACGGCTAATACTCAAACAAACGTGTTGTTGACGTTGTAAAAGTTCTGCCGTTTTGTACAAGTATGGAAGCGAAGGAGGGCCAAAACCACAGCCAGCTGCGCCTGTTGAAGTTTTTTGATGGCACCATTGGCCTAGAATGGAATTTCAATAAGGGAATCTCTCTATAAGCGACAACATTTGGCCTGAGTTTTGCTGACTTAAGAAGGAAAATCACGTTTTAGGGGAGTCAGGTTAGGTTAAAAACAATTATAAACCGAATTAGGCTAAAACAAAAAAGTCGCTTATAGAGGGAATCAGGAAAGTCGCTTATAAAGAGATTCCTCTTTATTTTATCAACAGTATTTTGATTTTCTCCCAAAATCACACTTGAAGACTCCAACAACCCTTCATTATTAATACCTTGACATGTCTGCCCACAATCAGGCCTTCCATCTGGACATTGCCTACAAGTCACGTTTCTCCACGTGGCTGTGTTCACATGCATTAGAATTTGGTCGTTACAAAAATCTGTCGAATTTTTATTAAAAAATTTTTTAAAAAATCATCAAAAAATTACCAGGTCCAGCACAAACGCAAAGGACATGATCAGAAAAATGGTCAAAATCACACCCAGCTCGAGTTCTAGAGGGCCTCTTCACACACCCTTTGGAAAGCCTGAAAATTCCTGGGATTTCTGAAGGCTGTTTCTCTGCAAAACAATAATCTGCCTCACAAGACCCCATCCTTTAAAAAATTATTTTAATTTAAAAAAAATATTTACTGGCAGTTGCAAGGTGCACCAGCTAAACATTGTCCAGAACATGAATAACAACGGCGCCCCTATAAAGAAGAGTTTTCTTTAGTTTAATTAATCTGCTACCTTTTCCGGAATTTTCTATTTCTCTGAGTTCTATTATAAATATATTTATATTTCCGGATCAGGGCCGAGCGCAATTGGAAAAAAATGTCCGCAGCCGCAATCAGCAATTTTAAAAATAAATCCGCAAACGAATCCGCAAGTTAAAAAAACGTAATCCGCAATTGTGCCCAGCCCTGTTCCGGATAGTCAGTTTTTCGGAAACTATTTTTTCACTCTTAATTTCTATATATTCTCTATGTGTCTGACATCTTTTCCGGAATTCTCTTTCCCTTTTCTTTTTTAATATTTTCCGGAATTCTGTTTTGGATCTACACATTTCTTTTATTTCTTTTCCGGTATTTGACGTTTCCTCCGGAATTTTAGTAGTACATATCTCTATATATTTTTCCGGAACATAATTCTATACCCTTTTCCGGTATTTTCTCTGTTCCGGTATTTTCTCTCTTCTTTAATATACATTTAAAATTAAAAATTAACTACCTCCAATAAAGCAGTAGACAACGCAAAAATTAAAAGAAATAAAATAAAAAATTTATTAGAGATCACCAACAATAATTTTGAAAATTGTAAATAAAGGTATTGACAAGTTTGTTTATTCATTTGCAACAAAGTAGGCAATAACTCAGCCTTTGCTGACAATTGCAAAAATTAGGCATTGCCTGCGCAGGGATGAGACGAAAGGAAATTAATTAATTTTATTTTTGTGAGAAGGAAAGGCTTTCTGAAAAATAAATAAAAATAAATTTTTATTCAGAAAATTTAAATTAAAAAATTTTTTTTCTAAACTTTAATAATAAAAAAATATTTATTTTATTATGCACCTTAATTTAAATACGCCTATAAAAGGGAAATAATAAAGAAAGAAAATTTTGGGTATTGTGACTTATAGGGGTTTTTTTTGGCTGGACCGAAGGTGTCATTCGAAAGAGCTCGCCGAGCTGAGTCGATCGCGGGGGCAGAGAAGTCGATCCGACAATCAGGGACCGAGATACAGACCCCTGAAGTTTGAAAAAGAGAAGGGGGGAGTAAGCTCATTTTTGGGTGAAAAATTCGAAAATGCAAATAATAGCTCATTCGACTCAGCTCGTCGAGCTGAGTCGAATGACACCAAAATCACCGAAATCCGACTTGATTTGACAAAGTTATGATCGTTTGTTTTAGCTCCTTACCTATGGTCTATGTGGAGGTTTCTGCTGCTACGGAAGTCCCAAGTACGTCCGGAGTAAGGGAGATAGGAATAGGTTTATGTTACTGACCCAGACCCAGCGACCGTTGACTCCCCGCGAGGCGCTTGTGCGAAAGCCCGCGCGAAGCGCGGGCTTTCGCACAAGCGCCTCGCCGACGCTCCATAGGTTTATGTTGACCATTTTGAACCTGTTTATCTTGGCTCAGAATCAAGATATAGAGCTGATTTTGGTGTCATTCGACTCAGCTCGACGAGCTGAGTCGAATGAGCTATTATTTGCATTTTCGAATTTTTCACCCAAAAATGAGCTTACTCCCCCCTTCTCTTTTTCAAACTTCAGGGGTCTGTATCTCGGTCCCTGATTGTCGGATCGACTTCTCTGCCCCCGCGATCGACTCAGCTCGGCGAGCTCTTTCGAATGACACCTCATTTGTCCAAATCGGTCCAGCCAAAAAAAACCCCCTATAAGTCACAACATTCAAAATTTTAATTAGCGGAAAATTTTAATGAATGTTTTTCTTAAAATAGGCTTATTCAAACAATAAAATTGTAAAACCTGATTAAAAACAAAACTTAGTTAAAACGTGATTGTAAAACAAGTTTAATTAATTTAAAAAATGTTTTTAAAACAAGCTTATTTATTTAAAAGATTTTTTGTAAAAACAAGTTTAATTAAAACAACACGAAAATGTATATGTTTGAAACATGTTCTAAACAAAAATGTTTATTCAAACTTGTTTTTCAACATGTTTCTACAATTAAATTGAAACAAACTTGTTTTTACAAAAAAGTTTTACTTATTTAAAACTTAATGGAAAGTTCGCGTGTTAATTTTAACTGAACTTTAATACATAAATTAAAAAAAATTATTTAAATATGGAAGACAGCGAACGAGAAAAGAGGATATAAAAACAACATATAGGAGAATGCTAGTTTTTTGGCTTAGATAATCCAAATAAAGTTTTATGTGTACAACCAGTTTCCGGTAAAATGAGTCCATACAAGGCTAAATTTTGAAAAGTTTTGAGTAAATTTGGGAGAAAATTGAGAATTTTTTATGGTTTTGAGCCTTTTTTTTCTTTCCAGTTATTTTGTTTTTTATGGCAGATTTGTTAGTTTTTTGAAGCTTTTTTAATGGACATTTAAAGCATTAAAAATGGATTTATTTGGAGAATGAAAGGTTGTATTTATTCGCAACACACTAGATTTAAATTGTTTTAATTAAATAAACTTGTTTTACAATCAAATTTTAATTTTAAAACATGTTTTTACAATTAAATTAAAACAAACTTGTTTTCACAGGAAAGTTTTATTTAAATAAAGTTTTACAATCAAGTTCTAAATAAATAAACATGTTTTTGATTTTAAATGTTTGACAAACATGTTTCTACAATTAAGTTTTTACAATTAGTGAAGGAGATATTTTTAATATAAACCTAGTTTTTAAAGAAAAAAAGTTGAAAAAAATCACAAATAAATTGGCTATAGAAATGGGGAAATGTTTTTATAAAAAGGCTACTAGTATAAACAACAATATAAAAAAGCCCTCATTTTCCCCCTAAGCTGTCACCCACAGCTTTTTTCTGGTTTAATGAGCAACAGCTACCAAGTAGCAATGAAAATGGCAGAAAATTTTGGTTGGCGCAGCTTTTAATAATTTTCTCTTTTCAACTCATTTTTTTGAAAGAGGAAAAGGAAAAGACTTTTTTTACTTGGAAAAATATTTTTTTATTATTATTTGTTGGGGCAAAAATAAATAATTGTGCTCATTCAAGTTTGAACATTGTATAAACCATTAAAAACATTTTTTGTTTTTATTTTTTCAAAGAAGGTTTTTAAGTTTGAAGGTTTTAAAAAGTATTGAATGTAAATTGTAAAACATCCAAGAATATCAAGAAAACATTTGGAAAAGTTGCAGATTAGAAACAAAAGAACATTAAAAATAAGCATGTTTTACAAAACATGTTTTTACAATTAAAATAATTTAGTTTAACAAAACAAACTTGTTTTACAATTGTTTTTACAAGCAAGTTTTTATACCTAAGTTTTTACAATTAAGTTTTACAATTATGTTTTTATAAATGTTTTTAAAATCAAGTTTTAAACAAACTTGTTCTACTAAAATGTAAAACATGTAAAACTTGTTTTATAAAATTGTTTTACAAATCTTTTTACAAGCAACTTCTTATACTTAAGTTTTTACAATTAAGTTTTAAAAAATAAGTTTTACAATTATGTTTTTATGAATAAGTTTAAACATTTTTTAAAATAAACTTGTTTTACTAAACTGTAAAACATGTATAACTTGTTTTACAAACTTGTTTTACGTTTTAAATAAACTTGTTTTACAAATTAATTATTTAAGACAAAATATGCAATAAAAACAAAACAAAAGCAATTTTAAATTAAAATAACTATAAAAACAATTGTTTCAAAAATATTATTATTTTGGCACTTTGTTTGTTTAGGAGAAGAGCAAACATTTAAAATTTTTTTAAATAAATGAAAAAAATTTGAGACAAATCCTAGAAATCCTCTTTTTCCCTTAAAAATATATTAGTTGATTGGGAAAAAGGGAGGATTAATAAAATAAATAAAATTACTTTATTAATTTTAAAATACCTAATAAATTTATTTCAAAAGGGGCAAAAATTAAAAACAATTTTTTATGAGGTTTTCCTTTAAAAACATGTTTATTTAAACTTGTTTGTAAAACAAGTTTATTTATTTAAAACTGTTGTAAATCTAAGTTTACAATTTAAAACTTAGTTGTAAAACAAGTTTGCTTAGAAACATGTTTGTTTAGAACAAGTTTATTTAAAAAAGTTTATTAAAAGTAAAAACATTCTATTTTAAACAATTGTAAAACAGGCGGATTTAATTTTTAAAAAAGAAAAAGATTATTATTACGAAGCAAAACATTTAAAACTTGAAATGTCAACAACAATTTTAATAATTTGTCATTTTCCTCAAACATTTTTCAATAAAGCTTTTGTTGTAAATATTTAAGGAGAAACACAACAGTTGTAAAAATGATGTTTATAATAAATAAAAATATATTTTTTTTCTGGTTGTTCGAGAAAAAAAAGGAATGAGGGAAGGGAAAGGGGACATCCTGTCCTCCAAAAAAATTTTTTCCTTCTGTTGCCTCCCGAAGGAAAATAATTTAGAATTTAAAGTTTAGCTAGTGTTTGTCTATTAAGCGCTAAAAATCAAAAAAGATGGGAAAAAGATGGAAAGGATTTGTGCCGGAAGGTTTCGGAAGGGAAAAGAAGAAACACAAAATCGACAACAAAACTTGAATATATGGGGGGATGACAACAGCTGTGTTTAAGAAAAATATATAAAATAATTTTAAATGAACATCTAAGTAAATAAAACTTGTTTTACAATCAAGTTTTAATTACAATTGTTTTCACAATTAGGTTTTAAATAAATTTGTTTTTAGAATGAATTTTTAAATCAACTTGTTTTTATAACAATTAAACTTTGTTAAAAACAAGTATACGTCTCCATATAAACATGTTTTACAATTAATAAACTTGTTTTACAATTAAGTTTAAATAAATAAACTTGTTCGAAAAATTTCTCAAAAAAAGGTTACGACACCCCCGATTCCCAGGACGTCTCCGTTCCAAGTACTAAAGAGGCCCAGCGTTGCTTAACTTGCCAGATCGGACGGGATGGCGTGCTTTCAACGCGGTATGGTCGTAAGCAAAAGAGAAAACATTTTCATTTAGTATATAGAAAAGAAAATGGAAAGAACGCTAAAAAATATTCTTAGTCAATGAATATAGGGCTCCCGGACAATCCGTCAGTGGACAATCCGGCAGTGGAAAATCCGTCAGTGGACAATGCGTCAGTGGTCGGACAATCGGTCAGTGGACAATCCATCAGTGAACAAATTCATAATTCCCAACCGAACCCAAAAACCGCGGCCAAAAATTTTCATTTTTTCATGTGAGAGCTTATAAGTGATAACGAAAATATGGAGATTAATGAAAAAATCGGCAGATTTAGCTGAATTAAAAGCATATCTGTGGATTTGGGAGTCATCGGTGACTTCAAAGATATTGTGGGATCAAGGTGAATATAAAAGATTTGTAGTATTATGGTGGTTATCTAGGAATTTGGGAGATTAAGATGGATTTCGTGGATAAAGGAGGATATCAAGGGATATAGGCGGGTTAAGAAGATTTAGAGGTTTTTCCATGATATCCAACTAAAAACAATCTCTCTTATTCATCGAGTTCCATAATTACGCGATATTTACCCAAATCCTACAATAATGCCACACGTTAATCACGTAAATCTAATCCATCCAAATCCCCGATATCTTTCTAAAGCCATCGACATTCGCGTAATTCAACCGCATTGCCCACTGAATTGCTTTTAATCCAGCTAAATCTGCCGATTTTTTCATTAATCTCCATATTTTCGTTATCACTTATAAGCTCTCACATGAAAAAATGAAAATTTTTGGCCGCGATTGTTTGGGTAAGGGTAGGACAATCGGTCAGTGGTCCACTGACCGATTGTCCGACCACTGACGCATTGTCCACTGACGGATTTTCCACTGCCGGATTGTCCACTGACGGATTGTCCGGTCACGGAATATAGATGTCATGTAACTTGTCATAACAAAACGATCATATGTTCAATAAAATTTTTTTGGAAACCAAACATAAAAATAAATATTTGTCACAACAAATAAAATTTTTCTAATTTAAAATTAGAGACAAACAAGGAAGAAAATTTTTATTTAAAAATATAACAATACAAATATAATTTTATTGTGCTTACAAGCCTTAATTCTATTAAATAGTTATAGCAACATTTACAAAATAAAAATTGATATTTTCATTTAATTATAAATTTAAACAATAAATTTATTACAACTTATTAAGCTTAATAATGAAAACTTGAAGCAAATTTAAAAATAAACTTGAATAAAGTTGAAACAAAAAATAAATAAACTTGTTCGTAAAAACAAGTTGTAATTAATTAAACTTGTTTTAGTACCGTTAGAATCAAGTTTCTAAGTTTAACTCAGGTCAGGTTTAAAGTGCAGTTACAAACAAGTTGTAATTAAATAAACAAGTTTTAATTAAACTTGTTTGTAAAACAAGTTTTAATTAAATAAACTTGTTTTACAAAAAATATACCTGGTTGATGTTTTTATAATTCGTAAAAACATAATAACCTTATAAAAACAATATTAAATAAACTTGTTTTTACAATTAAGATGTTTAAATTATTTATTGTAATGTTTACAACTTTAATTATTTCAACAGGTTTAATTAAACTTATTTTCAAGTTTTAAACATGTTTTTAAAGTTGTTTACGCAATTCCTACTGTTGAACAAAATTTCATCGTTGCCTGTCACAACTTGTTTCGCTCTGATGTAGCTCGTGGCAAAGGAGAGAATTCAGACGGATTTTTACCAGAAGGGGCGAATATAAAACAAATATTATATGATGATGAGATGGAAAAAATTGCTAGAAAATGGAACTGTTCGGGTGGAAATGACGAGGAATTCGGGGAAAATGTTTATGGTTATACAGGGAAACCTGGTGATTTTTTGTTTAATTTTTTGGGAACTTTTGGGAAGTTTTCTAAAATAGTCTAAGAAAATTATTTTTCAAACAGCCCCAGGAAGAGGAATAATTTTGGAATTTATGGTATAAATTTAGTTTGAAGACAACTAAAAAAGTTAAAAATCTTTTGACTAATTCCTCCCACGGCTCTTTTTTTCCCTATATAAATATTTTCTAGTTTTGAAAATATTTTCATTTCCAAGTTCTGATCAGAGCTGCGTCGAAATAAAAAAATCTTCGAAATTCGGAAATCGAAAATCGAAAGAAATCCAAAAATATCGAAATCGAAAATCGAAATTTTATGAAAAAATTCGAAATTCGGAAATCGAAAATCGAAAGAAAAAAACGTCGAAAATCGAAAGTCGAAAATCGAAATTTCGACGCAGCTCTGGTTCTGATTAGAGACCGGCAAAATCGCATTTCCTGGATCCCGAGTCGGGATTTTTTCATAACCGATGCTGGGATGGGATCTGAAAATTCCGGAATTTCGGGATCCCGGAAAATCCTGTCGGGATCCCGTCCAGCGCCGGTCTCTAGTTCTGATATCTAAATAGGTCTCAGTTTCCAATTATTCCTTTTTTAAAGACCTACAGTTTCCGGTCCCAGCTTAATATTCAAAAAATTTTTTAGCCAATGTGTTGCTAAAAGCCTGCATTGCTTGGGCTAATACTTGTAAATACGGAGTATCTGAAGAGTTAATTTACGATTCTGAACATTCTCGAAGTGGTTCGTGCACACAAATGATATGGGCAGAAAGTTTTAAAATTGGTTGTGCCTACATTGATTGTCCAATATATAATTATTTTGTTTGTAAATACAGTCCAAAGTGGGGATTTTTTTAAATTTTTTAATTAAACAAGAGGACTTAGAAATCAAAAAATGGGGGCCGGTCCAATAGGAAATGAACTCAATCAACGACTAAAAAACTTGGTGCTGACCACTACCCCCTATAAAATATCTCCTTTTACTAGAACTAGGGTAGCACACAAGCCCTCAGGGGCAAGATGTCGGGGATCGTGGTTTGCCGGGGTAGAGCCTTCGGGGTTCGGGTCGGAGTTTCGGGGGACGTTGTGCTACCCAAATTAGAACTAACATAATTAACTCGTCTTTGACTATTTGAGAACCGTGAACCATTCAACAAAAAAATAGTTAAAATACCCTTTAATCCTGCCTTAGATTTATAAAATCGAAAAAGCTTTTCTCAATATATTTTTAAAATTTAAATTAATTTGTAGAGGAAATATTCCTGACGAATTAATTTATCAAAAAGGAAGTCTGTGCACAAAATGTGGATATTTTGGATGTTCATATGGATATGGGTTATGTTTAGTTAAAAATATAAGTGAATATCCTGACGCTTAAATTATTTAAATGAATATTAATTAATTAAACTTATTTTACAATCCAAGTTTTAAATGCAACTTGTTTTACAATCAAATTAAAAATATTTATTTTCCAATAAAAAAATTTTCTACCAAAAAAATTTTCAAAAAAAAAGCTTACGACACCCCCGATTCCCAGGACGTCTCCGTTCCAAATACTAAGGAGGCCCAGCGTTGCTTAACTTGCCAGATCGGACGGGATGGCGTGCTTTCAACGCGGTATGGTCGTAAGCGAAAGAACAATGTCTTTTATTTATTATAAGAGGAAAACAACTATTTTTCCTCAAAACAACTTATTTATCGTTCATTTAAAAAACCGATTTTGGCTGTAGAGGAAACAAACAGGATTTTGAGTTGTCTTGTTATGTTTAAATTTAAATAAAATTCAAAGAGATTAATAAAAATAATTAAACACAAATATGAAAATATCATGCAAAATAAATTTTTGACAAAATGTCAAGCAAAATTAATCAAAAAGAAAATGTTAAGTGAGTTTATTTATTTATTTAAAAAATATTGAAAATTGTAAGAAAATTAAAAAATTATTTTTAGTTAAGCAGTTAAAAAAATTATTTAATTCTTCTTCCTCTCCATAAGAAATTAACTGCATTTTATTCCTTTCCATTCAACGACGCCGGTATCCATCTAAAAATAAGTTACTAATTAGAGTTCGGACCGTACCGTACTACGGCCGTATTTTTCGGTATTTATCGGTATTCCGTATCGGTAGTACGGTACGGAATACGGTACGGAAAATTTTAAAAAAAAAATACGGTACGGAATACGGTACCGATGAAAAATATCGGTATTTGTCGGTATTTCTCGGTATTTATCGGTATTACAGTCGGTAATACGGTACGGAATACGGTACGGCAACATTTTGAATTTCATCGGTATTTATCGGTATCGGTATTTTTCGGTATTACGGTACGGAATACGGTACGGAACAAAATTCCGATCTCTATTACTAATATACAATAATCAAAGTCAAGGAAACGCTGGGGAACCTCAAAAAGCGCTAAGTTTTCGCGCCAATTTAACCAATTATAATTGGGTTTAAAATACCGAATCAAATCGTTTTGATATTGTCCTACTTACAATTAGCTAAGAAAATACCCCAGATAGATCACTTCGAAAAGAAGCGCCCCATGTGCGCGCCATTTCGAGTTGTATCCTCTATGGGGTCCACCCCGAAGGTCGAGACCCTGGAGATCAAATACAAATATTTGGGGGTAAAGGTTTATCAGTATCAAGAATACGTTTGCTTCCTTTCTTCTTTTGAATCCTACAGGGTAATACCAAGGCTGGTCCCCCTTCTTTTCCTTTATATTTTTTTTCGAGATTTTAATCTTTTTATGACAAATTGAATATCATTCGAAAGAGCTCTTCGAGCTGAGTCGAACGGTACTAATTACATCACAAAAAGCATGTCCATCGAGGATTTAGCTCATAATTTTGTTCAGAACCGCCAAATCTAAGCGATCACAGTATCATTCTACTCAGCTCGAACAGCTCTATTGACTGATATATTGCAAATTATATGTCACGCAAAAAAGCTCAAAATGGTCAGGGGAACAGAAGAGGGACCAGCCTTGGTATTACCTCCAACAGTTTACACCTAGTTTTTCACACAAAACAAAAACGATTAAAAATTACATACTTGAAAGTTTTTCATTTGTAGAAGCTATTTTTTTGGAAATAAAAAGAACCCCATCGATTTGTTGTCTATTTAAATTCCCATTATTAACAATTTTTTTAAGATTGTTTGCAAGTGTTTTGTTGGTGTCTAATAATTTTGAAATTTCTTTCCGATTCTAAAAAAATAAAAAAGAGGTAAAAATTCGAAAACAACTCTACCTTATTTTTTTTAAATTTTAATGGAAATTGGCTTGTCGGATGGAGGATGTTCCAACTGAAAATAATTTTAAAAAATTGGAAAAAATAAAAAAAAAGTTAAGAAAAAATATTTTATTTAAATTTTTGTTAATGGGATACTAACCCAAAATTTTTAAAATCAATTGATCTGTCATAGTTACAATTTACAATTTGTGAAAGAACAAATCCAAGCAAGCCATTACTTTCCATAAAAGATTGATTAGCCAAAGAAAGTTGCTAAAAATAAATTTTGCTTTTGGAATTTTCTCGTGTTAAAGTTTTAACGGTTTTAACAATGGGGGGGGGGATGGGAGCAGAATAAACTAAAAATAGAAGAAACAAGAGCCAATAAAACAAGGTTAAAATTCCCAGATCCCTAGCAACTATCAGATTCAAAAAAGAGCAGACTAACGTATTCCTAATCTTGAGTTCTCTCCATTTTATTCGCTCAAATATTTGGAGTTAACCTCCAAAGTCAGTTGCCCTCTGGAAGTTTCCCTTCTGGGCCAGACCCTCTGATTTGTGGATTTATCTGCCAATTAATTTTAAAATTTCCACCTTATTTTTGAGTGTTTCTAATTTTTTCAAAACTTTTTTAACATCCACATCATCCACACTAAGCAATTTCAATTGGTCAGTTAATTGATCCAACTGTTCTTTACTTAAAACAAATTTTGAGGAATTTGTTGGAATGAGTTGGTTGTTGTTGGGCATTAAATAATTGGGGGAATTGCTTGTTCCTTTCATTTTTGTAAATATTTTTTGTTGTCAAAAGTAATGAACTGGAAAATTATTTTGAAAAATTTAAATTTAAAAACTTGAAAAAAAAATAGAAAAAGATTAAGTTGAAGAGAAAGGAAATAAAGAGAAATTTTAAATTTTATGTTTTAAAAAGGTAATCTTCCCAAAGATACAAGAGGAAAAAAATCAGAATAATTTTTAAATAATTAAAAAGTTTTGGATTTAAATAAAGTTTAAAAGAAAAAAAAAATTCCAAATTTATAAAAAATGGTCAAATAAGGCATAAATTTAAAAGGTTGAAGGAAAAAATAGAAAGAGATTGAAAAGTAAAGTTGATGAGAAAGAGGTGAAATACATAGATAATTTTTAATTTTATCTTTCAGAAAGGCACTCTTCCCATGGATATTAGAGAAAAAATTAGAGAAAAAATTTTCGAATTTAAAAATTAACTGAAATAAAATTTGAAAATTTTTGAGAAGAGTAGGAGAGCAAAACTAAAAAAACCTGCTGACTTTTTTAGCCCGTGATTTTGTAATTATTAAGAAAAAATGAGCAGATAATTGTTAAAAAAAACTAATTTATATATAGCAAAACATATGGGCAAATTAATGCCATTTATGTCTCCACGCCCCCTTTTTTCACTTCTCTAGGCAAATAATTATGTCAGATTAATATTTTTGAATTCTCCCCATTTTTGAATGAATAAAAGATGCGAAAATGGCCGAAAATGAAATGGGCATTAATTTAAATAAAACGAAAGGGAGAGATTATAAACATTTTGATTTGAAAAAGGATGGCAATTTAAAAGTAAATGGCGATAGGGTATATGTTTTAATAACAAAATTTAATTTTAAAAGTTTCAAAATAAATACAAACAATCTGAGAAGTTTTAGAAAAGGTCAATTTTCAATTTATTTTTAAATAAATTTGATTAAATATTTGCCAAATAATAGTGTTTTTAATTAATAAAAATTATATTAAAATGTTGTGAATAAAATTGTTTAGATAAACATTTAAACACACTTTTTATTAAATTAAATCTCAAAAGCATTTCCAATTAAATAAAAAAATTTTTCAAAAAAAGCTTACAACACCCCCGATTCCCAGGACGTCTCCGTTCCAAGTACTAAGGAGGCCCAGCGTTGCTTAACTTGCCAGATCGGACGGGATGGCGTGCTTTCAACGCGGTATGGTCGTAAGCGAAAGAGGTGCTTTTTTAATTTATTATATATGTAAAATAGACCGTTTCCACACAAACCAAATGTTAATTAATCCAGTTGCTAATTTTTGATTACTCGTTTTTTAAATAAATATCAAAAATATAAAAACAGTCAAAAGAATTTTATTTTAATTTTAAAATACAATTATAATATGTTTTTAATTAGTCCCGTTACTAATCTTGTTGGGGTAAGCGTGGTAGGGAAGAAATGGAGGGAGGGGAGAGAGGGGGAGAGATCCTGACCAGAAAATCAGAATTTAAAATAAACGAAAAAAATTATTTAAAAAAATATTTACAGGAAATTTAAAATATATTCTGATTTTCAAATTTAAAATTTTTTTGAAAATTAAAAATATTTTTAAAAAATTCTACGGAAAATTTTTTTTATTTTTTTATTTTTCGAAAAAATGGAAAAACTTTTTTCCTTGAAAAAATTTTCAGAAAAATTTTTTTATACATCTCTAAAAAATAATTAGTATACATATTTTAAATTTCAAAAATAAAATTATAATATTTATTTTTACATTAACACAATTTTAATTTTTTGGGGTAATTTGTGGTATAGAGGAAATTCTTTTAAAAATTTTCTTGTTTAAATATGTATATCCTCAATTAATTTAAAAAATTTTCTTTTTATCACCGGTAGAGCTTCTCAATTTTTTAAAATTTAAATTCAAGCCATTCGTTTATGCGCGCCTTGTACAACACTCAATTTTGAATTTGCATGGCCTTGTAGAGGCTAAAAATTTATGTTTATTTTAAAAATGTTTAATATTTTTAGTACGTTTCGGCGCGACAATGTTACGGCGCGCATTAAAAAATACCCTAAAGCATTGAACCTATGACCATGAAATTTTGCATTAATATTTTTGAAAGTTTTAGCTATATTCTCTATAAATTTCAGAATTTTTTGTTAAATAAGAAAAAAGTTATGGTCAAAAAACTAAAGAAAACTAGGCATTTCCAAGCTCAATTCTGATATTTTTGACCAGAATTTCTGAAATACAGAACCAAAAATTCTGAAATTTTCAGACTAGCTAGATAACACAATCAACGATATCTAAGCAAAATTTAAAGGCAAACGGATGCCTTTAGACTATTTTATGAGGTCAGAAGTGAATGACACTTTCGCGCCGAAACGTCCCCTTCAATTAATTAAATTTCAAAAATTAAATAAAATTCACTTCAATTCCAACATAAGGGGCTTCTTTAGTTCCGTGTAACATTAAGGAGAATTTTTTCAGCCATCCAGTATGATGTTTTTGTTGTTCAATAGGTGTTGATTTTCCGCTTTGGAAACGAACAACTAAACGCCATTTTCCTCGAGGATTTTCCCCCCAAGTATGTGTTGTCATAAAAGGCCAATTTCTGTTGAAAAATGAATTTATTTTGGAAAATTTAGAAAAAAATTTACGTAAATCCATCTTTAGAATCGTCGTCTTTTGGGCGTCGGGATAACAACATTGAAGGTGTTCCCATTGGACTAATTAAATATAAAGTAGTGTCTCCACGTCGGGAAGTGTTTAATGAGACGATTGCCTTAATAAATAGATTTTGAAAATTAGTTTATTAATTAAAAAATAAAATTAAATTAAAAAAAATTCTTAAGGAAAAAGCATATTTATGGGAACTGACGTCCTTTTAAATTTTATAAGTTAGCCAAAAAGGACCTAAATTCCTGAAATTTTGCAGAGATATAGTTAATACTGTCTACTAACAATTCTGAAAATTTCAGAATTTTTGGCTGAGTAAATCAGAAATTCTGGCCAAAGATATTGAATAGGAGATAACAGAAAATACCGTATATGTTCACTTGTTTCTCTCATAATCTCTGAAATAATAAACCAAAAAGTCTGAAATTTAGGGAGTTGTTAGCTAAATATGTTGGGTATAGCTCTGCAAAATTTCAGGAATTTAGGACCACCTATGGCTATTTTACAAGAGTGCGACTACAAGTGACTAACGTTCCTTTACATTATTTCTTTATTAAATTTTTGTTAGCAAAGAATTAAAAAATTTTTTTTTTCAATTTTTCCAAAAAATCCACCTGGACATGTTCTAAGAAGTTAACTTCAGTAGAAGTCCCAACACAAGCATCAGTATTTAATTCCAAAACTAAATCTCCAGTTGGTGGAATTCTGGTAGGGTGTTCAATTGTTCCAGCTTCACAGTGGAAACGTGGAGGCATTGTTTTCCATACTTTTGCCATTAAAACAATCTCTGCTGCATCGAGGACTCCGTAACTAATTTAGAAAATTTATTTTTTTATTTTAGAAAATTTTTGAAATTAAAATAATTTTTTTTATTTTTCAAATTAAAAAAATGATAAATTTGGGTATATTTGAGGGAACATAGCTTGCTTCGCGCAACTATAACTTCTATAAAAGTGAGCCTAAAATCGTGAAATTTTGCATAGATATAGGCAAAAGTGTTATTTAACAATTTTAAAAATTTCAGAATTTTTGATTAATTATTTCAGAAGTTATGGCAAAAAATCAGAGAAAAAGAGGGATTTTAACTGTGAAATTCTGATATATTTGACCAGAATTTCTGAAATAAATTTTAAAAAATTCTGAAATTTTTTGAGTTGTTAGGCAAGCTTATTAACGATATCTGTACAAAATTTAAAGCCCCAAGTTAACTCTTGTCTATTTTATAAGCAAAAAATTAAGCTCTACTTTACTCACAAACTTTCTTAAGTTAATTATTTTTTTCATTAAAATAAATTAAAAAAATAACCCAAATAAATGGTTATATTCCAACCCAACACCATTCATTTGCCATTCAAAATGTGAGCAATTTGGTAAACCTTTGTATAATTGTCGAGTAACTCCTTTGAGGTTTAGAGGTGGAAGTTCACGGCAACGTCCATCAAATAAAGAGTTACGTGAAGACTTTAAAGGAAATAAAAGATCATTATAATATCACCTTTTGGGGCTGAAAAATTGTCCCTTATAATTAGGTGTACATTAAATAGAGAGGAGTATCCCTCAGCCCAACAGCCAAATGAATTTAAAAAGTATCTTAAATTGAGGGCGAATCCAGCATTGGGAATATCTTATAATGAATAAAATTTATTACAGTCAAAACAGTTAAGTGTTGCAAGTCCCTCCAACTCAAATTCGGATTTGCCTCCAAGGCCAAAGCAAAAACGCCAGCAGCTTCTGGAGCAGCTGCAGAAGTGCCAGAATGTGAGCGAGTACAGCGACCGTATAAATCTGTTGTGGCTACTCCACTTTCCGGATTTCTACCTCCATTGGAGAAGGTTGAAGCTAAGGTTGAGGAACAGCTTCTAAAAGAATTTTAAAATTTTTGAAAAATTTCCAAAAAAAATCTTAAATGCCCACTCATCATAATGTGCATTCTCTCCATTATTTATAGCAGAATTAATCGAAATTGTCCACATACTGGCTGCATAACCATCACAATTACAATCATCATCTTCTCCTCCATCCCCACTTGCCCAAACAAAGATAGAGCCTAATCCGTTTCTTCCTTCATTTACTCCTTTTACTATTGCACTAAAAAATTAATTTTTAAAAGATAAAAAATCATTTCTACCAAAAAATTTAAAAAAAGCTTGACACCCCCGATTCCCAGGACGTCTCCGTTCCAAGTACTAAGGAGGCCCAGCGTTGCTTAACTTGCCAGATCGGACGGGATGGCGTGCTTTCAACGCGGTATGGTCGTAAGCAAAAGCGTACCTCTTTTTATTAATTATATAGAAAAGAGAAAAGTTGGAAAGAGTCTAGGAGGGGGAACGTATCATTTCGAGTCTTCGATTTTATCACAATTTTTATTGTCTCAAGACTTTTTCAACTTATAAAATTTTAATCACCGCATTGTAGCATTTCTCGGTCCATCAACAGTCTTTCCATCATCTGTCGGTCCCCAACTTGCAGAGTAAATGTGTATTTTGTTTGGTTCGTGTCCCATAGAGTTAGCCTCTATTAAATCAGTCATGTATGGCTGGTCAAGCATTCGTATACCGGCAACTTTACTGTCATAAGCAACACCGACCTTTTTTAATTTTTTATTAATATTTTTCCAAATAATTTCCTCTAATTTTGTTATTTTCTCATGTAAATTTTGCACAATTTTTAAGAAAAAATTACCCCGCAAACTCCATTATCTCTAGCTGCAGAAATTTCACCTGCACAGCGTGTACCGTGTGAATTAAACCTGTTAATTATTTGCAAAAATATTTTTTCTCTCTGTTTTTTACAGTCAAACATCATTATAAGGTACCTCTTAGGGCTGGAAACTCTTACCTTATAATGAGGCGTGTGTTAAATAGAGGGTATCTCTTATAATGAGAGTTTCTTAAACAGGAGGTATTCTAAAAAGTATCATAATTCCGGGGATGAAACACTCTTACCTTATAATGAAGAGTATGTTAGATAGAGGGGTTCTCTTATAATGAGCGTATCTTAAATAGAGGGTATTCTAAAAAGTATCCTAATTCTGGGGCTGAAACACTCCTACCTTATAATAAGGCGTCTGTTAGATAGAGGGTTTCTCTTATAATGAGCTGTATGTTAAACAGAGGGTATTCTACAAAGTATCCAATTTCTGTGTATCCTATAATGAGGTTTGACTGTAATAACAAACACACAAACCAATCATCGGTGTAGCGTGGATAGGGATAAGGATCATTAGAACTAAAATCGTAGCTCGCTTCAGCATTAAAATTTAATTTCAAGTCTGGATGCATATAATCAACTCCATCATCCATTATTGCTGTGGTTATGTTTTTGCCTGTATATCCAAGTGCCCAAGCCTTTTCTACATTCAAATCCAACCGGGGTTTGCCTTGGGATTGACCGTCGTTTTTCAAGTACCATTGGTATTGGTATAGTGGATCAGAAGGGGAGTGAACTTTAAAAAAGAGGAGGGATTAGAATATTAATTTTTATATTTGAATTCCAACAGCATATGGATTATAATGTTACCTCAGACCAGCGTTAGCGTTTTGAGCAGCGGATATGAACTTTTGTCAGAGTATTGTAACCGCCGTTCAATACTCTAACCTGGGAGGGGGAGGTAATAACTACAACAAAACCTATTTTAAGAACCTTCGTCAAAGTATTATAACCACTGTTTAATTGGTGAGAGGTAAAGGTATAACGAGATTAATTGACCAGCAAATCCAACCCATTATTTAATCTAGGGTTGAAATCCTTATAGAAGAGATACTCTTATTCTTAGGGAGAATTTGACGTTTATCTTAGGAAGAATGGAATGTCGCAAAATTTTTAAAATAGAAAATAAAGCTTGCCCTTACAATTATATAGTCAGTCATTAATTTTTAATAAATTAATTTTTAATATTTTACATACCTGCAGTAAAATCCAATTGCTCTTGAAGTCTGTCAGCTAATGGACGATAACCACGTTTGAGTCGTTTATAACCTTTTTAATTATTTTTGAAATATAAAATTTTTTATGAAATTTAAATTACCAGTCATTTGCTCCACATATTTGATCTAAAAAATGAAGCAAATAAATATTTTTAATAAATTATATGATGAATTTTGCAAATTTATACTTTTGCGAACACCCACTAACGTCCCAATATTGTATCTCAATATTAAGTAAAATACTTTTTTGGTTGGCTACTAGGTGAGAAGCTCCCTAAGGGATATCCTCTGTTTAAGTAACCTCCATTATAAGGTACAATTTTTCTTTAACTTAAAGAAAATTGAGATTAGTCTTATAAAAAACACCTATAAATTAATGACCGTTTGTTAAAAAATTACCGTATATACTCTATTAATTACTCTGGGTAATTATCATTCTCACCTTCTCGCTGGAGGGAGTAATTAATAGAGGTGGGGTAATTATTAGAGGCTATTTATACAGGCTAATTATAACTATATAGTTTTAAGGGGCAATTATTGATTGAACAATTCGCTATAGGGAAAATTTACCGTTTATTGAAGGAAAAAATTTCCGCTTAGAGTGTGGGTAATTAATAGAGTACATACGGTAAGCCCTATTTTTGTCCGCAAACATTTGTCCGCAAATTCATTAACACAAATTTATTTTAAAAAATTCCTTACGTGTGGATCGCGTGCTAATTTAGTATGGTGACCTATTGAACGTCGAGTTCTGGCATGAGAAAGTGCGGGTTGGACAAAATGATATTCTGAATCAGAGCCGAGAAGCTTTAAAAAATTATTTAAAAGATCAAAATTCAAAGAAGACATACAGGTCCTCGATTAATAAATCCATTACGTTTAGCAACTTTGTGTGCATTGTGAATTCCAGGTTCGTTTAAATGTACAAGAAAATGATTTGTGAAAACCTTTAAAAGAAAGTTTTGTTAATCTTTTCCTAATTTTCTTAATATTCTCTTAATTAGCCTCACATTTAGGGGTCAGAAAAAGTTCAGATGGGAAAAAGTCCGGATATCCAGATCCGAAAAAAGTCAAATCCAGATATCATGTAATTGGGGAATTCCCAGGATTCACAACCCTACCCACATTCCAAGAAAGTATTTAAACAGGATTTCTGATTCAGGTTGGATGATAGGGATAAATGATAGGGATAAATCTGAATGGAAACTGGGCCATCCTTCTATTATACATTGTCAAAACAACCCTAATATGTAGAGGAGAATTGCTCCTCAACTAATTAAAAAGGGGAAAATAAAAAACCGGGGAAACCTTCAAGATTCGTTCCCTTCCCAGGAAAAATTTTAAAAGGAAGCTGAAGGAGCATTAAGCTTATTTGAGTGAGCCTTGAATGCCTATATTATGTTATGTCCATAAAACTGGGAAAAAACCTAAAAACCTAAAAAACCTACTTCAATACCCAACGTATATTCACTCATTAAAGGTATTATCAACAACAATGTTGCCACCATTTTTGTAAAAATAATAATCGGATTTGTTGCTATTCCATGGCTATTAGAAGGAGGTGGCATTCTCTACTAATTTTCTCTCCTTAAAGGAACGTGAATTTCGAGAAAAATGAAAAATGCGGTGCCATAAGCAAAATAAAGGGAAAAACCTTTTTAGCTTTACCGGCTTTGACGGTAAATAAAAAAACGAAAAAAGAGAAGAAAATGCCGCTGATATTGAAGGGAAAATGGCACAATGTTTGAGATAAAATGAAATGAAAGAGGAAAATGCCGCTCGCGTATGAATAAAAAATAAAAAAAGCTATGGGGACAAGCGCGCATACAAAGGAAAAAACGTCAACAAAGGCATAGAGAAAAGAATAGAAAAATTATAACAAAAAATGTTTTAGACTCCTTTTGGTCTTGGAAAACCTTTGAAATTCTTATTAAATAAATTTCTGAGAATTAAATTTGTAAACAAATTGATTTAGAGGTTGGTACGAATTGAGAGAAGTAGTGCCAGGATTTTGTCTATAAATGAGCCTAAAATAGAGTTAGGGTCATGAAATTTTGCAGAGATGTTGAAAATAGTGTTATCTAATAATTCTGAAAATTTCAGAATTTCAGGTTGAGTATATCAGAAGTTATGGGTGAAAATTTGGAACAAGTCTGCATTTTTCAGAATTGTCAAATACGCGCTACCTTTTTAACCATAACTTCTGAAATAATTAACCAAAAATTCTGAAATTTTCAGAATTGTTAGATAACATATTAACAACATCTTAGCAAAATTTCATATCTCTAAATGCTCTTCTTGCTATTCTATAAATTAAGAAGCAAACGTTGTTTAGCAAGAGAAAGTTTTGCTTCAACAAAAGAGTTTCAGGCACAGTTTAGAGGAAATTTATAAGGAGGGATACGGTATGAGAAGGAAAAATAAAATTTAATTTTTTAGGCCTCCTTTAAGCTACAAATTTTATTAGTAACAATAAAATATTATTTAAATTATTTCAAAAAATTTATGACGAATTTATTTAAATAATCGAAGACCAACCAAAATTTTTATTTCTTCCTTGTGAAGCTCCTATAAAGTTGACTGACACCAAAAAACAGATGGGTAAAGGGAAGATGTTTTAACGTGAAATGGACAGGAATACTTCTTTTATGGCAAAACTACTAGCCTTGTCTATCGATTTTTAAAAATGCCAATGTTAATGCTTACATAGCCTCAGGGCATAGAATATGTAGTTGCTTGAAAGCTTTGACAAAATTGTGTATGTTAAAGAGAAAAGAAATTTTATCCGTGTTAATACTACAAATTGAGGGGGGAGTACAAACACAAAGCTATATACACAAAAAATTGTGTATATTTCAATAAATGAAATTTTAAAGAAAATAAAATTTAAAAAAAAATCGGTAAAGCATGGGACATATTTTTGAATGAAAAAAATATTTTTGGGGTTTGGGTTAATTCATATTTTTAACACGGGTCCAGAAAATCTCATAAAACACTTCAGAATTTGAACAGAATATTGGTATTGGAACATGTAGAGACAAAGCACAGTCAATACTATTCACACATTAGTTAAACACCCCCATTCATTTCACTTATATGTAGTAAACAAATTTTAAAATAAAATTTTTGAAGGTCTAAAATTATGTAAAAAACATAATATCGACATAACAAATTGAATTTATTACTTGTAAAAGTGGATGATGTTTTTACATTCGGACGGTGTTTCACATTATCTGGGGCTACCGAAGGTCATTAGAAAAATTATTATTATCTCAAATAATTACCCTCTCCAGCGAAAGGTGAAGAAATAATTTCCATGGGTAATTATTTTAGCAAATACGCTACCTCAATTTATCCAACTTCTAAGATATCATCAACTATCTTTAATAACTACTCGAAAAAATAAATATCCTTTTATCCCCCCTTTCCTTCAATTATTTATTTTATCAAAATAAACTTTAATTCCAATTTTTAAAAAATAATTTTTGTACTTTCCCCTCTATTTATCTGCTTCTTCCAATTTTTCTTCTCCACGTTTTTATTTTATTTTAATTTTTACACAACTTTGTTTTGGACTTTAAACTTTTTTCAAGCGTCTTTTTTCCTTTTCCAATGATTTCTTTTTTTATTTTAATAATTTTTAATGCTTCTTCTTTTTTATGTTTTTAACGTTGGTTAATCTCTAATAAGAGGAAAAGGCTTAAAAAAGGAAAAAAAAATTTTTTTTCCTTCTGAAAAGCCACGCATGCATGTTCCCCCCAATCTTCCTTTTTCCTTCCCCTCTTCCTCTTACATGAAGGAAAAAATTTTTTTTTCTTCTTCCTTTAAAAATTGATGTATTTTAGCATTAAATAAATTAAATAAAAAAATGTTAAGCATTAATTCTATACGTTCTAATAATTAAATAAAATTAATAAACGTGCGCAAGGCGCATTTCGGCGCGAGACACTTACGGCGCGAAGTTAAATTTTATTAGGAAGAAGTGGTTGTATTTTCTTGAAATTTTGCAGAAATATTTTGGAGAGTGTTGACTAATAGTCTTATAAATTTCATATTTTTTGGTTCAAAATTTAAAAAGTTATGGCCAAAAATGCAAGAAAAATAGCTTATCTTACCCCAAAAAGTGCGCATTTTTTATTATAATTTTCCAAATACCAAGCCTAAAATTCTGAAATTTTTGCTGGGAGTAGTTAAGAGTGTTAGAAATATTTGTACAAATTTTTATCAATTTTATTATTTTTTGGATAGTATAGGACCGCGCCTTAGCGTCCCGTTCATGCGTACTTCCTCATTTACAGTGGTTACGCTTGGGTTGAATTTTGTCTTATTTTATTTAAAAAATGTTTATGTATGTAAAAGACGAGAATTTTGTATTTTAGAAAGAAACGGGACCAAAAATAAATTTTTTCATAAATTCCCCAATTTGTAGATGATGATGAAAATTTGAAGAAGGGAATTTGGGCGTAAAAAATTTTTTTGGTAAAATTAGAGGGAATTTTTTTTATTAAAAACCAATGATTAATCAAATAAAAATGTTTTAAGGTATTCCCCAAATTAATATCATGTAATTTGCAAATGGAAAAATTGTGTTGATTTTTGTGTTGATTTTGCAAAAGAATTTTTGCTGATTTTTGATTGACTAGAATTAAATTAATTAACATTACAATTTGTTTCACAGCTGTAAATTTCAGAAAAACATTTAGATTACTTTAGTTTACAAACAAATTGTTGTAAAACAAGTTGGAAAAACAATGTTTTACAACTTGTTTTTCCCAGCTTTGCGGTTTCCATCAAAACTTGTTTTACAAACAAGTGTAAAAACAATGTTTTACAACTTGTTCTCCCAACCTTGTTTGAGGTTTATTTTCACTAAAACTTGTTTGACAAACAAGTTGTTTGCAAAACAAGTTGAAATAACAATGTTTTACAACTTGTTTTGTATCCAAACACTCCCAACATTATTTTATGTTTTAATTTTAATAAACCTAAATCAATACTCTTTCAATTAAAAAATTTAAAATCCTTCCAAAAAATATTTATTTTAAAAGATAAAAGGCTTATACAAAAAAAAGATTATAAACAAAATAAAGACGAAATAAAAATTATTTTTGAGAAAGATAATTTTGAGAAAAGATATTTGTTGGAATGAGGAATAAAAAACAGAAAATTTTTAGAAAAACATTTAATTTATTTTTAGTTTTGTGAATGACCCGAAAAAACAACGAGAAAAACAAATTTGAATTTTGTTTTATTTGTTTTGTATTAAATTGTTTTTGTATAAAAGATGAAGAAAATATAAAAGACCTGAGGAGTGATACATATTTGTGTTTTGTTTAATTTAGAGTTCGAACATTAAAACTTGTTTTAAAACAAGTTGTTTTTACAAACAAGTTGTAAAAACAAGTTGTGAAAATAATTGTTTTTGCAACTTGTTTTCCCAACATTTACTTAAAGTTTATTTTCCTTAAAACTTGTTTTACAATTCAAGTTTATTTTTTATAAGGTTGCATTGTAAATTAACTTAAAACTTGTTGTGCTTTCTCCCAAGTTTGTTAAAAAGTTTGTTTCAAGTTGGTATTTGTTTCTCTCATGTTTTTAAGCTTAAAAACATGCTTAAAAATTAAAACTTAAAAACAAAGTTCGAACTCTATTTTGATTAAAAATAGCATAAATAGCTGAAAGATACTTAAATGCCGTTGTTCCCAAATTTTAGTTAAAAAATATTTAAAAAATTATTTTTAGTTAAACAACGGCAAAAAATAAAAATTAAAAGAATTAAAATTATTTTTTTATTTTTTTTTATTTTTATTCACCTCAAAAAATTTTTAAAAATTAATTATTTCTCTTCTGCTTTTGCTTTGCCATCATAATTGCCATCAGCGGACACGTGGCTATTGCTGGGACACGAAGGAATTCTTGGTCTGCCAATTCCAGTCTCCATTCAGACGGTGCATTGTCCCCGTAATGTCCTCTAAAAATTTTTTTCATTATAAAAAAATTCTTTCTTTTCTTCCCCTAACCTTCCTCCTCCTCCTCCCCTCATCATCAAAACACGAAAATGAAGAGATCCAACACCATCCAATGTCCAACGCTGTTCTTCCCCATCATTCACTCTAACCGACCACTGGCCATGTCCACAACGACTCGAATTTTTTGCACAAAAACTTCCTGTTGGAGTGCCGGTTGAAAGAAACAATTGAGCAGAATCGCCTAATAGAAACAAGATAACAGGAAAAAATTTTCGTGGATTTTTTATAAATTTTTTTCTCAAAATTTTTTTAGAAATTTAGGATTGTTTTCCTGAAGAGGCTCTTCTTAGAATTTTTATTGTACAAATATACGACAAATTAATTACCGCTAGGGGAACGAATTAAAAGACGAACACAACAATTTTGTTGTGAATTGTTGTTGTTGTTAAATGAGGAAGAAGAAGGCTCCAATGAAAAGTCTAATTCAACCTGAAAACAACAAGTTTAATTAAAACAAGTTGGAATTGTAATTCAAGTTTATTTTAAATGTTTGTTTGTATGTTTGTTTTAATGTTTGTTTTAATGTTTGGTAAAAATTAATGAGATTATTGTTTATAAATTTAATTCAAGTTTAATTAAAACAAGTTTGTTTTGAAAAAAACATTGAAGAATAAAACAAGTTTAACTACTAAGTTTATTTTTAGTTAGGGTATAAACAAACTTTAATTCAAACATTGTAAAACAAGTTTATTTTCAAGCTTATTTAAAACTTAAATTACAATTTGATTAAACCTGATTTGCAGGCGCAGGACATATTCCCAAAGCATTAGACATTTGCAAAAGAAAAGAAGAAAAGGGCGAAGAGTTGTTGTTGTTGTTACCACCTGTGTGGGCGGGGACGTTTTCTTCTTCTTCATATTCTTCTTCATTTTTATTATTTCCTCCCCCTCCATTTCTTCCTTTCCCCCATTGCGCACACAAAGAAGCAGCCGTGCGACGTAGTCCCTGGGTGTGGGAGGCGCAGGATGTTGGTGAAGTAGACGGGGGCACAACAACAGACCCATTCAACTTATTATTGAAGTTGTTGCCATTGTTTAACATTGTTGGGATTAGAAGAAAATTGTTTATATTTTCTTCTTTTTCTTCTTCTTGTGCCTTTTGTTGTTGTTCTAAGGGGTTTTGTTGTTGTTGTTTTTGTTGTTGAATAAAACGACAACTAGCACCAGACAATAGCAGCATGAATAGAAAGAAAATAAATATGTGTGTTTGTATTTTTAATCAAAGAGCTCTAAAAAAAGAAGAAATGTTTAGAAGGCTTTTGCCATATTATAAGGGGGGCCATCACACAAAAATAAAAATAGTGCTTATACAAAAATAAAATAAAAAAACTGGTTAAAAATAAGGGGAAAGATGGGAGGCTTTTTCTGAAGGAAAATAACTAAAAATAAATAGAAGACGAAAAATAATTTTTATTTTTGTGATTGTTTGTGCTTGGTTATATTAATGTTTTATTTTATAAAAAGGAGGAAATGTTTTTTTTGTTGTTGTGTGTTTTTGTTTGGAAGAAAGGTCAATTTACCTCCCCTTCCTTCCCCTACAATTTTAAATAAACGTTTCCGGGTTTTTATAAAAAAGGAAAAAATAAGTGAGAAAATTTAGAAAAAAGTACTTTTTGATTTTTTAAAGATTTCTTAGTAATCTTTTAATTATTGAGAAAACTAAAGGTAAATTAAATAGAAAGAAGAAAATTGGGGGAGTTATTTGGGCGCAGGAGCTATTTGGGCGCGAGCATTTATTGGAAGACTAGAAAGGGGGTTTTTATTGGAGAGTGGTTGGTGAGGATTTATTTAAAAAGACAAAATATGAATATTAGACTTGCTCAACTAATTTTGTATTTGGGGGAGCTTTTGGGGAGTTATTTGGGCGCAGAGCTATTTAGGCGCAGGCATTTATTGGGCCCGGACACTTGACTAGAAATGAGGCTTTTATTGGAGAGAGAGTTGGTGAGGATTTATTTAAAAAGACAAAATATGAATACTAGACTTGCTCAACTATTTTCTATAAATTATAATAGAAATTAAAAAATATTATTTTTATTTCAAAAATAAAAAATACTTAAGTTGGTGCGCCCCTTTTTCAGTATAGTAAAATTTTTCAAGCCCCAAAAGTGTCTTTAAAATAAAAGTGTATGACTTTAATTATTTTTTTATTATTTTTTAAAATTATTTTTCATATTTATTTTGCTAAAATCTGAGAAAAAAATTATTTCTAGACTAATACACAAAATAAAAAGCCCCCCAAAACCCCTCCCTCCCCCCAAAACCCATTTCTCTCCCTTAATACCACCCAGTATTAAAATAAGTAAAATGTGAAATAGATATAGTGTATTTTTAAAAGAAAAGCTCACTTTACTGGGTTAGCCTTTTTGTGGCCCTTTTTCTAGCTTTTCCAATTGAATCGATGTTGGGAGAAAATTAAATAAAAAAATAATGTTTTTAGTTGATGACGATGTGTGGGGGAATGACGGCAAAATAATGATGTGATGTTTTTAGAATTATATATATTTTTTTGTTAAATATATATTTTTTAGTATGTTTTAAATAATAGTAATTTTGTTATAGTCTAGCAGATTCTCTAAAAATGAAAAAAAAAATAAAAAAAATTGTAAAAGCGTGGAAAAAAAGGGAGAAGTTGGAAGAAGTAGGAGTAAAACCGATGGTACTGCAACACCCATAAAATGGCCCATATTAAAGCTAAAATCGCCAAATTTTGCAGAGATATTCTCAATAGGGATGAGTACAATCCCTCAAAATTTCAGAATTTTTAGTTCGTTATTTCACGAATTATGACCAAAGATGGAGGGAAAGGTTGGAAGTATGAGAAAAACCACTTGGCACTGCGAGACACTCATAAAATAGCCATTTGAAGCTAGAATCGCCAAATTTTGCAGAGATATTGTCAATAGCGTTGGGTACAATACTTCAAAATTTCATAATTTTTGATTCAATATTGTACGAATTATGAGCGAAAATAGAGGGGAGGTTGGAAACAAGGAAGAAATAAAACTGTTGGCACTGCGAGACACTCATAAATTAGCCCATATTGAAGCTAGAATCATCAAATTTTGCAGAGATTGCCTCAGTAGTGTTGGGTACAATCTCATAAAATTTCAGAATTTTTGATTTAATATTGTCCAAATTATGACCAAAAATGCCGCTTTTTCTGGTAGAAATTGCAACTTTTCGTTATTTTATGATTATAATTTCAGAAATATAAAATCAGAAATTTGGAAATTTATACAGGAGTTAGTAGAGACATTGAGAAAATTTGACAAAAATTTTCACGTCTCCAACTCCACCCATTCACCCCCTATTTTAAGCGCGCGCCAAAACACTTTCGCGCCCAAACAACCCCAACCTTTTTATATAGAACGTGAAGTTTGGTGTAAGAAAAAAGTTTGGTGGGAGATAAAAAAAAGTTTCGAGTGCAAATATAAAAAAAGGGTTTTTTAGGGAAACCTAAAAATAAAAAAAAGAATTTTCTAGAAACTATTAAATTAATAAAATATTTTTTTTATTTACAAGAATTAATCTTTAATTCTTTTTTAAATGCAAAAAAAAAGAAAAAAATTTAAAAAGGGGTAGAAGAGACTGCAAATTAAAAAATAAAATATAATTGCTGATTTGTATTAATTATTAATTTAATATATAAAAATTGCTGACTTGTGTTTAATTACCAGAAAATTGACTTTATAATTATTTTTTAATATCAAAAAGTAAAAGATAAAAATGAGGGGAGAGCGGTAAAGAGAGTCTCGAGAGGGAAGAAAAAGGGAAATAAAATGTCTTATAATTTATTCTCGTTTCTATAATCACTCTTTAAGAGACTAAATTATTTCCTGAAATCTTCACTACTTTTTAAACAACTTTTTGTCCGCAAAAATTTTGCGGACGAGATTTGCAGGCAAAAAACTTTTGCGGACGAGATTTGCGGACGAGATTTGCGGACAAAAAATTTTTGCGGACAAAATTTGCGGACAAAAAAAATTTCGGACAAAATTTGCGAGAAATAACAAAGTTCCAAGTCTAAAGGATCCTATCACTCCCTTTAATATATTAATTACACCCTTAGTATTACTGACGGTCTTTTTATAAATATGAAGGGATAATAAAAACAAGTTTCGTAGTTGTTTTGTTTATTTTGTTTAAGGGTCAGTTTTTGACTAGACGGTCAAATTCCAAAATTAAAAAAAAATTTTAAAAACTAATTTTTAAAAAATTAAATCACAAAATAAAAAGTAAAAAGAGTAAAAATAAAAATGTCTCGATAAAAATAAAAAGTAAAGTAAAGGAGTACTTTTGTCTATGTCCAGACAGCCCACCGCCTTTTTTTGCTTTTTTTTTTGCCCAAAAAGAAAAAAAATGAGAAAAAGATGAGTGACTGCCCGTCTGTGTTATGCCTTTCACGTGCAAAAATAAATTTTTTTTTGTTTTTTTATTGATTTTATCGAGAGTCTTGTGTCTGGGGGAGTAGAAAAAGGGTCCAAAAATAACCAGACTTTGTGCAAGTGTGTGCAAAGAAAGGAGACTTTTCTTCCTTTTTTTTATTTTTCGTTTAGTATTACACTACAAATTTTTTTTCTTGCATTTGCTGCTTACTTCCAATTTATATCCAGTTCCAGTTTGGGGAAAATATCAACAAGAAAAGGTTTAGGGATGAAGTGGGGGGGGGGGGGGCTTGCAGACAGTTTGCCTATTAAAAAAATGAAGAGAATATAAACTGGGGGTAAGCCAAAAACTAAAATACGAAATCCAAAAACGAAATATGAAAATACGAAACTGCCCCCTCCCTCTATAGACTAAAGGGGGGGGGCATATGTATATTGAGGAGGCAGTTTGGCGCCGACCCAATTCACGATTCCCGAAATTCAAGAATTTGATTTTCTGTCGGCGCGATCCCTCTATGTAGTTAGTAGAGTTCGAACTTTTAATCCCGTCGATCCTAAGTTTCCTGGTTAAAACCCAAAACCCCGTCCCGGGTCGAGTTTGAACCCTATTCTTTAACTATCATCAAAACAATCTGCCAGAACCAATCTAAAATTCTCATTTAGGTATATTGCAGGATGGAGTAGTTGAGATGATTACTGGCTCTATTCTATCCTAGAAAAGATGTTATAGGATGGAATGACTTCCTTAGGTGTCCCTTTCCTCCTTTCGATTCAAAGAGACAAAATAGAGGAAATTAATTTTGGGTGGTACAGATTGGTAGATTTTTGTGTGTCTATTTTAATGTTCGAGTGACTAAAATTTAAATTTTGGTCTATTAAAAGGTGTAAATAAAAATATTATTTTTCTTTCCAATTTATTTATTTTTTGGGGGATCGTAGATCATATGGAATGATTATATCAAAGTCGAGGGCATAGTCTCATTACACAAAAATCGCAGAAAGATTAAATAATAAAACCACAATAAATAAATAATAATTACATAATTTTTGTTCCTTATCGAAGAGAAGATAAGAGAAGAAGGGACTTGGAGTAGAGGGAAGGGAACATAAAAAGGACTTGGAGTAGAGGGAAGGGAACATAAAAAGTAATGTGAAGAGGACATGGGGTAGTGTGAAGATAACACAAGGAGTAGAGTGAAGGGAACATGGAGTAGTGTGAATGGAACTTAGTAGAGGAAGGTTCTCTTCACTTAAGAAGTAAGGTGAAGAGAACATGAAGTAGGGTGAAGAGAAAATCAAATAAAGTGAAGAAACATAGAGGGTAGTGTGAAGGAACATAAAAAGTAGAGTGAAGAGAACATGAAGTAATGTGAAGGGGACATGGGGTAGTGTGAAGAAACATCAAGTAGAGTGAAGAGAACATAAGAAGTAAGGTGAAGGGAACATGAAGTAATGTAAAGGGGACATGGGGTAGTGTGAAGGGAACATAAGAAGTAGAGCGAAGGGAACATGGAGTAATGTGAAGGGGGCATGGGGTAGTGTGAAGGGGACATGGGGTAGTGTGAAGATAACATAAGAAGTAGAGTGAAGGGAACATGGAGTAATGCGAAGGGAACGTTGGGTAATAAGAAGGGAGTATAAGAAGAATAAACTGAAGAGATGGAACGTTTTATAGCCTTTTCTTCCTCCTCCTCCTCCTTTTATCTTTTAATCGGTACATTAAATACTCTCAAACTAGTTTATCGAAAAGATTATTTTTTAGGGAGAAAGGCACGTGAATATCTTTTATATTTAAACATCCTTTTTGAATTGAGGGGGAAATTGAGGGGAGGGTGGGAATGAGGGGGAATTGAAGGTAAGGGGAAAATTTAATTGAAGAGAGGTAAACTTGTACAAATATTTCAAAAAGGTTTTTGAAATTAAAATGTCACAAACAAACGAAAAAAGACGTATTTGGAGAGGGACTTTGACGTAAAACTCTCTCTACCTTTTTGACGCAGTTTGAAATTTTTTTTTATTTTCCTGGAATGAATAGGGAAGAAGATTAATAATAAAAAATATTATTTTTTAAGGCATTAAAAGTACACATAAACATTTTTTAATTTATTCCCACACACGCAGGCATATATTTTTAATCCTTAATATTTGAATTTTATTTAATCCAAGCCTTGAGGCATTCCTTCCATGTTATCACTTTTTTATGAATCACCTGTTTATTATAAGAGGGTTTGTCTGGTCTTAACTTTCGGGAAGCTCTATCCCTTGAGAAAATTCCTGTTTTATCCCTCATTATCCCTCATAATCCTCCTATCTTTTATATTTAAACATCTTTTTGATTGAATTGTGTGGAGGAAATGAGGGGGAATTTAATTGAATAGGCATCTTTATAATCCCTAATATTTGAATTTTTCAGAACCTTCCTGTTCAATATGTCTAGGAATCTTAATCCTATCCTCTCTAAAAACAAAAATCTCTGTGTTACCACAGCTATAAAATCCCAGACTTGTCCTTCAATAATCTCGGGCTTATCCCGATTTATCTAAAAAATAAATAATAATTAAAGATCGGAATAAATTACGTATAAGGAATGGGCTTTCTCCTAGAGTTGGCCGGTATAGGCCGGTAATACCAGTTTTTTGGAATTCCGATACCGATTTTTATGATACCGATACCGAAAAGTAAATCCCCAACTCTACTTTCTCCCGCCTTCCGTCTGCCACAGAGTTGCGTCTTTTGACCCTTCCGCTTCCTTTTTGGCCCTTTGCTTTTTATTCTGTCCCGCATTATTTCACGTTCCGTCTGCCGCTTATAAAAATATGGCAAGCCCAGTCTCGAATATAGGTGGAAAAAAATAGGAAACAAGATGAGCAAGAAACAAATTTAGAATGAGTAAAAAAAGTTACGAAATTTAGTGAAAAAAATAAAAAAAATTGAAGAATGGGAGAGAAAATATTGAGAAATAAATAAAAATATTTTTAAAAAATAAGAAAATAAGAAAAAAATAATTAAAAAGTAGACAAAAATAAATAAAATATTTTTTTCTTAATGCTTACTAAAAAAAGTAAAATTAACAAAAAATTACTAAATTAGGAGAAGTATTTAATTTAAAAATAAATAAGAAAATAAGTAAACAAAAATAAATAAATAATTTTTTTAAAAAAAGTAAACAAATTTTGAAATTCCCCCCAAAATATATTTATGGACTAGCGGAGCAGGACAAATAGGCACGGCCGAATAGGCGCAGACGAATAGCTAACATTTTTTCGGCGCTGCATGTTTTCGGCGTGTGAGGAAAAACACATAAACACACTAAACGCCGAAAACATGCTGCGCCGAAAAAATGTCGCCTATTCGTCTGCGCCTATTAGTCGTGTAAACATGGACTAATGTCCAATGTTTTTTGGTCTAAAAATGAGTGAAATAAACAACAAAAAAATTTATTTATTTATTTTTATAGGCACAAAGATTGTGTCACCTTTTAAACGCCTACACACGTTCCTTCAAACAAAAAATATTTTTTTCTTTTTTATTTTTTAATCAATTCTTCCTCGGGAATATTCGAGAATGGCCAAAATAAATAAATAAAATGAGTCATTTTTTGAAAAAAAATTTTTTTGTCAATTTTTGGATTTTTTGGTGATTTTGGGGGGGAATAATGATGAAAAATGACCAAAATAAATTTATGAATCATTTTTTAAAAATTTTGAATTTTTTGTAAAATGAGGGGAATTCATGATATTTTAATGAATTTAATATGAGAATTTTATTAAATTAAATTTTTTTAAAAGAATTCAACGAAAGGGCTATTTTTGTGTAAAAATGTGTTGTGTAGAGAGCGTCAAAGTTTGCCAAATAATTAATTAATTGGTATTTATCAAAAATCAAAAAATATTATTTTTTGATAAATTTAAGACTGAATAGGCCAAAAAAAATTTTTTTTTGAAAAAATTAGTGATCAGATAATTTATTTTTTAAATTTGTTTTTGAAGGAAAATTAGTCTGGGACCAGTCGTATTTTTTTTAAATTTGAAAGAATTTTCTTGATAAACTTAAAGGGTTTAGCCTATTTTAAAATAGGGAATAGATGTGGATTCCCAGAGGCGAGATTAATGGAAATCCTCATTATTTCTGATACCGATTTGCCCAATCTATGTAGTTAAAGTGAAAAATATGCTTAATAAGGTTGATCATTTGAGATTTTAGTTATTTTAGGTTCTAAAATAGTATCCCTATTTTTCCCCGATTTTTTGAGGGTCTGTTCCAATTCTTTTTGGAAAGTATTAGTATTTGGAAATTCCAATTTAAAAATAAAGAATAATAAAAATAACTTATTATTCACACAAAGCAACGATTTCAGGCACTAATAATGTAAATGAAATAAGTAAATAGTTAAAAAATGCTTTTCTAAGGTAATTTGGAAAGGAGTCAACAGATTAAAAAATAACAGAAATGGCCAAAAGTTAATTAAAATGGTCAGGGTTGAGTTGAAGTTAGTTAATATATTGGAGGTATTGGAGGTATTTGTTAAATAAATAAATAATATTTTCTATTAAAAATGGACAGAATAAAAGAAAGAAGATACATCAGAATATAAAGGAGAAGAGGCTTATAAAACACATAAAAGTTTAAAAAATTCACGTGACAGTCAATTAATTATATCACTATTTTGAAAGAATTTTAATATAATAGAGTGGGGAAATGAAACAAAAATTTGAAAAAAAAAATTTTTTGAGGAAAAAAAATTTTTTTGAGGAAAAAAAATATTTTTAATGAACGAAAAAAATTATTAAGGAATGAGGAAATAAAAATAAACAGTCAGTTGAACAATTAAAATTTTGATCAGTAATTTTTGAATTTTTTGGTTGTTAAAAATAGGGAATTAGTAATATATGGGCAATTAAATATTAAAAGACACCCACACGTAAAAATAAATTAAAAATAAGGAACGTTAAATTAAAAAAGAATTTAAAAAATACCAAAGATTCAGACTGAACAGCAGAGATAATAATAAAAAAAATAAAATAAAAATAATAGAGATCGAGCTTAAATAAAAAATAACTACAAAAAAATATCTAGCCAACATCTAAATAGGCCAACATCTAAATATAGTTCCCGATTACCGGGAATTGCTAATATGTATTTAAAAAACCCGAAGGAAATCCACGATTTCGAGAATCGGGTCGGCTAGATCATGTTGTATATTTGGTACAGGATGTTTCGATTTGTGACTTTGGTTAAGTAACTGAATCCGAACTTTATGGGGCTGGATTTCTAGGAGAAAGTTGCTATATATGTATAGCCTTTATAAGGAATGATTGGGTTAGATTAGAGGAATAAATGTGAGAAATATGTTAATTTATTTCAAAGTGGAATAAAAGAACGGAACATTTCTGGGGTGGGATAACTGAGAGATTATAAAAGAAGTCTTCCTCATTATTAAATAAAATCTTCTTCCATTCAATACTGAATAAAATATATGGAAAAATAAAAACCGGAAAAAATAAAAAATAAAAAATAAATTTTAAATTTAAATAGTCACCTAAATAATAAAAATATTTTTCAAAAAAAAATATTTTTTTTTCTTTTAAAAAATATTATTAAATTTAATAAAAACAAGGAAAATAAGAGTACAAAAAATAAAAATAAAATATTTTTTTTATTAAAAATAACACAAAAAAAATAAATAAATCTTTATAAACTTGACAAATTGAATGATGTAAAACCCAAAAAAAATTCGAGAAAATAAAATAATATTTACTTTTTGGTTTTGCGTAGGTTGTGTATGTAAATATAAACACTGAAAATATTTTTTATTGAATATAAAAACACAATAAGCAAATAGAAACTTTAAAACGTGTTTTGCTCAGGTGAAAATATTAAATATTATAAAAAGGGATTAGAATATAAATTTAAATAATGTTTGTCAAACACGTGTTTTGTCACTCTAAAACATTGATTGTAAAACATTTAAAACTTTTTTTAAGTTTGTTTTAATTAAACTTGTTTGTAAAACATCAAAACATTGTTTTAAAAACATATAAACTTGTTTTTTTAATAAAAACATTAACACTTTGTTTTGGAAACTTAAAAACTTGTTTGTTAACAAACACATCCCAACTTTGTTTTGAAAACATCCAAACTTGTTTGGAAGACATCCCAACTTTGTTTGTAAAACTTTAAAACTTGTTTCTGTTCAAGTTTTATTTATTTAATGTACATGTTTTTCTCTTCAAAACATTAAAACTTTGTTGCGAAAAACTTCAAAAACATTATTTTTGTGACATGTTGTATTTGTGTAAAAACATGTTTTGGTTCTACAAAACTTAATTATGTTTCCGTAATGTATTTTATAATATAAATTTTGTATTTTGTAGCAGAAATTCTTGAGATAACACGGCCAAGAGAATCCACGAGATTAACATGCGATTTTTTAAAAATTAAAAACAACACGTGTATCCATTAAAGCAAACTAAAAGTCAATAAAAATAATTTTAAAAATATTTATTTATTTTTTTCTCAATTTATTGCTCAAAAATTTAATTTTTTAATGGTGATTATGATGTCTCCTCCCTCTTTGTTTACGCCTTCCTCTTTGTTTTCTGCTTTTGTTATTTTGTTGATTTTTTGGTCTTAGCATTTTATGCCAGTCTGAAAATCCAATTGAATCGGGTGGGAATGAATATACCTTTTTTTGGAATTTTTAGAATTAAACAGAAATTATTTAATTAATTACCTCCATTACCCAATGGGAGTATGAGTCGCGGGAGAGCATTTTTCTTGGAGATTTTGCGTACCTTTATTAAATTGAAATTAAATTTTAGAGAAATTATTTTGAGGTTTTTAGGTTCAAGAATTTCTCATTTTTATAAAAAAAATAAATTCTTCCCTTGAATTAATTTATTTATTTAATCCAGTTTGGGCGCAGGTGGCGTTTGGCGCGCACTATTATAAAACAGTTTAATGATAACCGATTTTCATGAAATTTTGAATGGATATTCTCAATAGTGTTATCTACAATCCTTAAAAATTTTAGAATTTTTTATTTTGTAGTTCTCAAATTATGAGCAAAAATATTCAACCATCCAAGAGAAAACGCGAACCTCTTGTATATTTTTGTCCATAACTTTAAAAATAATTAACCAAAAATTCTGAAATTTTTATTAGAGATAGTTAAGGCCCTTTAAGTATTCTATGCAAAATTTCATAGCCTAAAGTGCTCATTTTTCAATTTTATTTACATGCGCAAACAACTTCATTTACATACACCAACCAATTTATTATTCAAATTTTATTCTCACCTGTCACCGGGAAATTCAATGAATAATGTCCAAGCTCCTTTTCTATTGACCTAGACAGAAAATTAAAAAATATATTTTAATAAAAAATAATATTTTTTACTTGATAACTATTTGTAAATATTTGCCCAGGCGAGATGTGAAAATCAACAGTGTTGTCTACGCCAAGGAGTCGAAAGAATATAGCTTCACTTACATTATGATTTCTTTAAAAATAATTTTTTATTTATTTTTTTATTATTTGATTATTTAACTAATCTCAATTTAATTTTATAATTTTGACTTTAGTAAGTGGAAAAAAAAGTTTTCTGATTTTTGCTGATTAAAACTCGGTGGAAGAGAACGCTTGGGGAAAAGAATGGTTGTCCCCCTTAAAGCCTTGTAATAATATTTAAATGAAACCGAAGGCATGAAATTTTTGTAAGAATATCCTTAATAGTGCTATCCAGTCTCGCTAAAAATTTCAGAATTTTTGGTAAACTATTTGAGAAATTAAATTCAAAAATTCAAGCTTTGATGTATAAAAGTAGGATTTTTTGTTAATTTTTTGGCCCTAATTTTTAAAATAGCCAACCAAAAATTCTGAAATTTTGCCCTAAGGTAGTCTTAAATATTAGAAAAATCTCCACAAAATTTAATTTTTAAAGGTACAGGATTTTTTGAGATAAGGAATTTAAGAGCGCGCGTGTTAGCGTCTCTACTACAGCCTTAAGCCCCGAACAAAAATAAACTTGGAAATAAATTCAAAAAATTTTTTAAAAAATTTTTAAAAATTAATTTTACCTTATAGACAAAGTTAGCCAATAATATTTGGGTCTATACGTTCTATTAGGATCTTTAAAATCAAAATAATCGTCATGAAAGAAATGGGCGGCCAAATCTTCTGGGATTATTAAAAGGCAAAAAATAAAAATTTTAAAAATTATGGAAGGCCAACAGAAATAATTATTTTTATTAAATAAATTTAATAATTTTAGTTGTTTTATATTAGGCAGCATTTTTACTTTTTATTTTTTTTTACATGCGCAATGTAATCATAAATTTTATTTATTTATTGAGAGAAGATGGCAGTGAAAAAAGGGAAGAAAGTAGAAGAAGACGAATGTAGTAATTAATTATTAAAAGCTGTAAAAATAAAAGAAATTAAAAATATTAAAATTAAATGTTAATAATTGGAAATGGATAGGATTTTAAGGGAAAGATTTGAAGAAATGATAGGTGGTAGGGTTACCTAAACCCGATTGAGAAATTTTCCAAAATCCGACCTCTTGGTGAGCCTAGGCACAAGAAGTTTTTAATCTGAAAGACAATTCTGGAGTAAATGCTGATCTAGATCAGAGTGGACATTTTACCCCCTTTAGGGAGTACTTGCCTCATTTTTGACCTCACCCTTTTTATCTTTTTCGCTCACTTTATCCCCATTTCTGCAATGCCACCTTTTTGCCTCCTTTTTGATTTTTTTTTGAAAAAGGAAGAAAAATTCTAGATAAATACACCCACTTAATTACCACATCCAGGTCTATAATTAAGCGTAAGAATGTCTAATTTAGACATTCTTGGCAGCAGAGATGTGCCAGGTTTAGAAAAATGTCTGGTCTGGTTTCAGGATTATTGGAAACCAGAGACCAGAAACCCATACTAGGCATGATTCAACATCTTCGAGTTGTGTCTGATGGTATCATTTTAGAGTCTATCTGTGTCTCTACAATGGACTGAGCGATTTCCGACTTTTTATAGCTGTCCAAGACCAAAAATTTTTCAAGACACAAGACCAAAAAAACCTCAAGAAGTCTTGGAATCAGTCTCAGGACCAAGAGTCTTAGACAGCCTTTTTAAGACCCTAAACTAAATTTAGTTAATTTTTGGGCCTCTTAATATTTAATTTATTTTTAACAAAAAAATAAATCATTTACCTTTATTTAACAACAAAAACAAGACAAATTTAAAAGTCAAATAAAAATATTCTTTTAATGGATGAGCACATTAAAGAGGCCAAAAAAACGTTTAAAAATTTTAAAATAAAAAAAATGGGTGCGCAGAAAGAACAGAAAAAGGTAAAAAGACGTGTCAAATTGAATGGTGATTTAAAGAAAAAAAATAAATTTTAAAAAATATTTTTGTTGTTTAAAAAAATTTTTTGTTGATAAATGCTCTTAAAAATTAAGAAAAGTTAAAAATAAGTGTTAATCCAAGCTGAAATTTATTTTTAAAATTAAAAGAAAAATTTTAAATAATGTAAGGATGATTCACTTAGAGCATTTAAAACGCTTAGGCGGGGGTTAAACGATCTGAAAGGAAATAAATGAGATAAATGAGAATACATTAGTCTATGCCCCGGTAACTTAATGGAAGAGCTCCTGACTGTCAGGAGGTCACAGGTTATAATAATAATTAAGGGGCATATTTTAATTTTTAAAATCCTTTTAAAATTTTTTAAAAACTATTTTAGAACCTAAAACACTTGGGAAATTAATTTAAATAAATTCGTTTTTAGTGAAATAAATTCATATTTTTAATAATTATTTTTTAAAAATATTTTTAAGCTCGCGACGAATCAAGGGGTACCAGTAAATTTAAATTAAATATATTATTTCCAATTTCTGATAATAAAAATAATTTTTTTCTAAATAGTTAAAGATGTCAGTTAGGTTAGAAAAAATAATTTTAAATTTTTTTATGGCCCTTTTTAAACAATTTAAAAAAATAAATTGCATGTCTGTCCCTCCCAGCATGATAAAAACAAAAAAACAAAATAATAAAAATATCTTTAGGTATTTTTATTTTTTAAAATTTTGTTCTAGATAGTTGTTGGGAAAACAAATTTAGAAAAAATTAAAGAAAAAAAAATTTTTTTATTTTTGAAATTTATTTTGGCGTTTATCGGGTTTATTAAACGACAAATTTAATAAATTTATTAAAAAAATTTTTTAGGGCCGCCAAAGAATTTTTAATGAATTCTAAGTAAAATGTTAAGGATTCAAAATGATAATAAAGAATTAATTAATTTAAGAATTTATTTTAAATTTTTAAAGCAATATTTTAAAGAGGAAAAAATTTTTTTAATTAGAAATTTAATCAAAAATCAAAAATAAAATGGCTTTTAGGACAAATACATAGAGGCAAACTTTCATATAAAATAATAATGGTACTCTTGTGTTATCTCCCCGCATTTTTTATGCCCCCCTTTTCTTCATTCTCTTTCCTTCTCATTGCCGCATAAATTAAAAATGGTCAAAGGCAATTAATGGTCAAAGACAATTAAATTTATAAAAACAAAAAATATGACAAATAAACATTATTTTGGAGGCCAAAATTCCGCAATTTTCTTACAAATCCATTCAAAAAAATTTTCCCCTTTAGCTTCTTGTCTACACATGAATTCTGCCAAGTAACTTTCCAAGTGATGCCGCGATGTTCCCCGATGTTTTTTATTCCTCCATTTCGCAGATCCCCAACGAGCAGATCCCCAAAGAGATTTCGCAGATCCCCATCAACGTCTTTGCTGATCGATCTGGAACCTATAAATACCATGAATTTTGTCTAATCTATTCTAAGAAGATTAACCTCCCAGATTCTAAGAAGATTAACCTCCCAGATTGAATGTCTTTTTAAATAAATTAAGTGATTGCCTTTGACCATTAATTGCCTTTGACCATTTTTAATTTATGCGGCAATGAGAAGGAAAGAGAATGAAGAAAAGGGGGGCATAAAAAATGCGGGGAGATAACACAAGAGTACCATAATAAATTTAAACAAAGTCAAAAAGTCAAACAAATTTCTTTAAAATAAATTTTTATTAAAAATTAAATAAAAAAATCTACACATCTACACGTCACCTCCCAAAATTTAAAAGAAAAAAATTAATTGAAATAATTAGTTGAAAAAAAATTTATTTTAGCAAAATTATTTTTTCCCCGTTTAAACTTTTGACTTTGACAAATATTAAAAATGATTATTGTTTAGTTTTGGCTTGCAAAAATTAAATTTTAAAATTAAAAAAGAAAGAAAAAAAATATTTTTTAAAATTTGGCCAAGAAAAAATTTTTTTATTTGAAACATTTAATTTTTAAAAAATAAAAAAGCAAGGAACAGAAAATAAAGAGGAAAGAAAGCGAAAAATCCCCCCCACCCCCTTCAAAATTTATCGTTCAAAAGTGGCCCTTTTTTATTTTTTTCTTTTCTTTTTTCCGCATTTTGCACCAAAAGAGTGGAAAGAATTTTAAGCGATTCTCGAGAGTTTTTACATAAATATTTTTAGTTGTTGGTCCCTAGAGGAGGGCCAATAACCACTAGTAAATATTAAAAGTGCGCATAAAGACAACAAGCATATTAAAAGAAAGGAACGTATTGAAGGAAAAAAAAAGAAAATAAAAAGGAAGGCCCAAAAGAAAGCAGAAAATAAAATAAATAAATTGTTTGTATTTATTTTAAAAATATTTTTTATTAATTATTTAAAATGTGCGCAAAAATAAATAAAATATTTGCGGACATTAATTTAAAAGAATAAATCAGAATTTAATATTTAAAAAAGAATTAAATCAGAATTAATAAATAATAAATAAAAATAGACTAATAGGTAATTAAATC